ACTCCGGGGTGAGGGGACAGGGCTGCCTCAGCTACCCCCAGGACTGAGGGCTATTCCCTGACCCGCCCGTTCTGCATGCAGCGTTTGGAAGGTGTTGAGGAGCCTGTAACACTGAGCCCCTTTGAACTGCTCAGTCCTGCGGGGAAGCTGAGGAGAGGCAGCAGTGAAGCTTCCTGGTTTGGGCAGGTTGGTGGCATCCCCAGGTCAGGGGTTTCGCTTCCTCTTGCTCATCAGCAAGCACTCCAGGAGAGCCGGGGATCATGACACCTGTTTGGAAGACACCAGGATGTTCTGGAGTCAGAGCTGTTCTCATGGGCTGAATGGGGCTCTGGCCTTTCTACCAAAGAGATGGAAGATTATAGGTATCCCTTTAATAAGCCTCTTCTTCCCAGGCATCAGGAAATATTTAAATATATTTAGGAGAAAGGGAACCTCTGGGTCATTTGGTCCACTTGAGGTGGAGAGTACCCTAGAAAGCATTCCTAGCTGAGCAAATAGCCTTCTCACCCTGAAAGACCCAGGGGATGTGGGAACCCTGGATTTTAGGGACTCGAGGGATTATCTAAGGAGACTAAGGAAACAGATGCAAAAATCCTCTTTCCAAAACTAGATAAAATATTTTTTAAATACAATTGAAAATACACAGCTGAGCTTAAAAGTATAAAAGGGGCATATACTCAAGCACAAGAAATAAATAACCCATCTCCATGTTGGTGAGCTGTGAGCACAGCCCCCAGCCCCAAGGTGGGGACTGGGGGAGGGTGGTGGGGCCAGGACCCAGGGATGGGCTTCCAGGGCTGGGGTTAAATACCCACGCCCTGGGCAAGAGGCTCCCTGCATGAGTTAGCCCAGAACAGCCCTGCCCTGTCCGTAAGAGGGATTAGAGAATTTGGCCGCTGGCCTGAGTCAGGTCTCAGAGGGAGCCATCAGCCCCCGGCTGCAGGGGAAACAGCCAGAAATTGAAAAATCCAGCATGCAAATTAACTCTACCCACGACGTGCAGAAAAAACCAAGCTGAAAATCCAATGTAAAAACTCATTTGGGGCCAGTAAACCCTGTAAGAGTCCTGCGCAGTCCAGGGGCCACAGGGGACTCCCAGAGGAGATGACTGCTGCGGAGGAGTGGAGGCACAGACTCGGAACCCGAGGACACAGGAGTCAGCATTCTCCACAGCTGTTCGTGTATCTAAAAAGACCTCGTTTTCTTTAAAAAGCAACACAAAAGGAAGTCCCCTGTGGTCCAGGAGACTCCTCACAGACCCAAGTGAAAGACATTTTATACCCAAGAAGCTCAAGGTAATGGAGATTGTTTCATGGATGTGGAAAAGGAGACCCTGCTTTGCCCAAATTGCAGGGGCAAAGCCACATGTAGAATCGAGGTATCCTATGACCTAGGTAATGTTTTCTCTATTAGGATTCCCATTATGGGTGAGGACTGGTTACATGGTTAGTTAAAGTTTAACTCAAATTGCGTTTATTTTATTTATTTTGTGTGTGTGTGTGTGAGGAAGCCCTGAGCTGACATCCATGCCAATCCTCCTCTTTTTGCTGAGGAAGACCAGCCCTGAGCTAACATCTATTACCAATCCTCCTCCTTTTTTTCCCTTTTTCTCCCCAAAGCCCCAGTAGATAGTTGTAGGTCATAGCTGCACATCCTTCTAGTTGCTCTATGTGGGACACGGCCTCAGCATGGCCGACAAGCGGTGCATCTGTGCGCGCGGGATCCGAACCCGGGTCGCCAGTAGTGGAGTGCGTGTACTTAACCGCTGAGCCACGGGGCTGGCTCCTCAAATTGCTTTTAAATGAAGATAATATTTTTACCTCCAGAAATTTATATACAAATGAATTTATAGAGCCAAAGGTATGGCCTTTAAATTAGCAAGATGTAAAATGGTATTACAGGGTAAATAGAACCATGTATCAAAATATTGAACCAGAGATCAAAGGACCCAGGCAAGGCTACTTCCTCCCCGCTGGCTCCACTTCCTGTGGGTGTCAATGTGAGGGAAGTCACCTCACTCTGAGACCAGGTCAAAGCCTGGCGTCACGTTGGAGTCGGTCATTCTCCACCATCTCTCCCAGAGTGTGGACGCTGGACTGAGATTAGGGATGTCGGGCCAGTTCGGCCGCTGACTAGCTGTGTGACCTTGGGCAAATCACACGGCCTCTCAGCCTGATTTCCTCCCCTGAAAAGGGAAAGGTCTTGGACTAGCACTAGATGATCCCCAGGGCTGTTGTCGCTTCACGTTGGGGGACAAAAGCCTTTACAACGTGAATGGGTACGGCCACAAACAGGAAGTCAAGGGGCCAGAAAAGAAACAAGTGCCAGCACCTCAACTCACTCAATTAGGAAATCTCCGATTCCAAAGGCCAAGACTGAAAACCCAGCACATCAAAGGGCTACCGTCCATGGCTGAGGTCAGGGACTAAGCCATTTCAGGGAAAAACCAAACTTCATTTTAACTCAATTACTTCTAGATGAGCCTGATTTCCTTTCTGAACATGTACTCAGTTCTCCCAATACCTGATCCTCCATCAATGTTTGCAAACGATTTGAATGAAATGAAGACCCAAGTCTATGGAAACTCAGATCTCCAGCTTCTGAGGACTCCCTCCTTAGCACCTCTCTCGATCAGCAGTTTGTGGAAAAACAGAAACTAGAGCCTTCTGCCCTGGAACGCCAGTCTTCAGCAGAAAACAAGTTATGAACATAAATGCATTTCTTCTAAAAACCCAAGTCAGCCCAGCTACTTGTAAAAACTCCACAGGGCGTTCCTGAGAGTCGTCACTGCTGAGTCAGAGCTTGGAGAGGATCCTAAACGCTGGAGCAGCCGGAGCCCAGTCTCCAGAGATGAACCGCTGGGCTCTGCCTGCGGAGTCGGCTCCCACAGCCACCTCTGAAAGGGCCTTTGCCTGGATGGGGATGGCAGCCCTAACTGCTGCCCCTTCTACCCCCCTGGAGCGAATTCTCCCATCTCATCTGGAAAACTCAATATAGCAAGTTAAGAATACAAGAGACAGCCCTAGCTGTATGTACCCTGGGTCAGCTTCTTCCCTTTTTGTGGTTCTCGGAAAGACAGCCTGAGTTGTGTACAGTAGTAAAGTCACTTTCAAAGTTCTTTCCTCTACCTCTGACAACCTCCTCAAGGCAAAGAGTTCCACTAATCATTGACAGACTTAAGGGAAAGCAAAGTGATCAAGGCTGTACTGTATTTCCACCAACTCTACCCTCCCCAGCTCCGGAAAAAATAAAGCTTCAACATTTGATTAGGCAAGTGATAAAACATTTTTCTCATATAAACACTGTGTGTCTAGAGCCACTGTCTCCATGCTTTAGACATCATAAACAATATTTAAACTGCCAAAAAAGAAGTCTGACTAGAACAGACCAAAGTTTCTCAACCTCAGCACTGTTGACACTTTGGGCCAGATAGTTCTTACCGGGGGGTGGGGGTGGGGGCCATCGTGTGCATTGTAGGATACTTAGCAGTAGCCCTGGCCTCTACGCACTAGGTACCAGAAGTATCCCTAATTGTGACACCCAAAAATGTCTCCAGACATTGTCAAATGTCCTCGGGGGAGGGGAGCAGTCACCCCTGCTTTAGAACCACTGGAACAGGTCTATTTAACTGTTGTATTATGAAACTGAAAGCTCAGCTGGTCCCACCCCTGTGGGCCTAGCCTTCACGCTTTAGACTTAAATCTGCATGAACGTTTTCTAAAGCAAATCACATTCAAGAACCCCAGTTCTGAAGACAAACTAGCCGTTGAGTCCTATTAAGCAAATCATCTCTTTTTGGCCTAAGTCGCCAAATCCTAAAGTTTCATGGTTATGAAATTTGGTGTGCAGTCAATGTCTTTAGTCTCATGAAAATTAAGTTGTAAGCACAGAAAACATGACATCTAGTTAGTGCTTAAGAAACAGGAGTGGCACCACAGAAGGTTGGGCCTCATTTTATGGTGCGGCTGAGTAATTTGTTGGTTGTTTCTTTGAGGTCATTCCTTAGGATCCAAAGAAGCTTTCTGGCATATTCCCTTTGGAACCAAACCATGTTTACTTATGCTTCTGAAGTATTTTGTGGCTGCGAAGAATCCTCAGGACAATAACTGAAATGGTTGGTTGATAATTAATGGACTTTTTCTAATATTAAAAGGAAAGAAAGGCTCCAACATTTTATCTGTTCATCTTCTGAATTATTTTCATTCTTATATTTGTGACCTTTGGCAAGTTTTTATCCACAACAGTAAAATAGAAAAGAACAGAATTGCAACTATGGTTCCCATCACAAGCTGTGACAGCTTGGGTAATTTGACCCTGCAAGTCACATTTTGACTGTGGTTGGATTACTTCATTGGAAAATAAACACTGAAGACTAAAAGCAACAAGAGCTATGAGAAAATCACCATTTGCCAAAACTGATGTTTGTCTGGATCAAGCAAAGTTTATACTAACCAAGTAAAAAATCACAGAAAAAAATTCACCTCGCAGACTATATAAAATTCATCTAGTTGAAGTATTTACATTTTAAATTACCTTGATGTGAACTCCTCCCTCCAAGGAAATCTACATCATTAAATTCCCCGTGGCCTTATAATAGATGAGAGAAATTTTAAGGTGACCTGTTTTCCTGGTTAGCTGCATTATAGGATAACTGGGTAATCCATTCTCGAGTAATCCTTTCAAAATGGCCTATTTGACTCCATAAGGAGCTTTCTGGTTTTGCAATCCTATAAAGTGACCTTAATAGCCAGTTCATGGTTCACTGGAAGTAATGACCAAACTTCAACAATGTCAAACTTTTGGAAGAGAATTTCACCAATCTCTTGATTCCAGGAGAGCAGCATGCTCTAACCACTGTGTGGCTCCCCCATCCCGGCCCAGAAAAGAAGCCACCCTGCAAAGAAAGGAAGGTCCCGTGCCATGGCAACAAGCCTACGCTGACACTGGTGATACTTAGGATTTTTTATGGTCTCTCTCAAGAAAAGAAGAGGTCATTGCACTAAAGCAAACATTTTCGATCATTGCTTTATTTCACTATTGTTCAACAACAAAGTTCATTCCTCTCAAGGTGGATCGTGAATTGTTCCTTGTGTTCTTTTCCTCGCTCTGATTAAAAAAGGTAATGAAGAAAAAGCCTTTACTTTTGGACCTAGAATCTTATTTATGCTAATAAGCTTTTGACTGCAATTTCGTGTCACGATATTTCCTGCTGGCATCTTGGTGGCCACACAGAGCTCCCCACCCTCCAGTGAAGATGGCTGTCCACAACTACCACCGTTGAAACCAAAAGTAAGTGTTGAAAAATGCACCTTGTACAATAAAAAAGTAGAAACCAATTCAATTTCCTTTTTTTTTTACGAATATAAAGTTTCTTGTAAATATGTACAGTCTTTTGAGCTAGTTCTATAGCAGGAAGCATTTCACAAATGAGACACACAATATACACTTTAAGGGCTCAAGAAGCCCATTGATCATGGAGATCCTAAATGAAATGCCAAGACTGAAAGACCAATTTTCAGTGACCTTTCCAAATACTGTGGACCAAGAGACAAAAACTTCAGCAAACATTCAGTCAGATCTGCCCCAGGGGAGGGTGGGGATGCAGTATGATCCCAAAGGCTCCAAGCGACACACAGAACACCACAGCATGACACTTGTCAAGGATGCAACAACATGGAAGGAGGGTTGTGGGCGTTTCAAACGAGAAAGCACTTAGGTTAAGAGACGAGCAGGAAGGAGCCAGGATTTGGGCCAGGTTGCAATCTGGAAAGTGATCTGAACTAGACACGTGGGCTGAAACATGGTCATGTTCACCTGCTGCGGTGGAAACAGGTCTACCTGTCAGCCTACCTAGGATGTGCCTTGGTTGTTGGAGGCGAGCCTACGAGTCCTGGAGAATCCGAAGCAAGAGATGCCTTGTGGGAGATTAAAGGCAGAAGTAAGGCCGCTAGTTAGCTTGCCAACTGCAAAGCCTCTAGGTTGGTTCTTTGCCAGTTGCCAGGAATTCCGCACTCCGACAGAGGGTAAAAGCAGCGTGAGCCGCTCTGCACCTAAGGAGGACTTCCCGACCCGGCAGAGGTGGAAGCGTTGAGCTGCGGCTCCCTTCTCTTCTCAAACTCCCTGGTCTTAGTCTAGCCCTAGGGAAAGGCTCATTTGGGAAGTCACAGTTTCGTGGGGTAGAACCCTGCTGGGTTTTGTGTGAACACACAGTCGTCCGCGAGGGAGTCGGCAGGGAAGCGTGGAAGTGTGAGGTGGTGGTCTGCTGAAATCCTTCTCTGGTCGTAAGGCTTGAGCGTTTGGTTTGTTTGTTCAGTGCTACAGACTGCAGCTTGTTGCGGCCAGTGAGTGGGCAAGTCGTCAGAGGGTCTCGATTCGGTGGGAGCTATGGTATGGGACTAGTACATTGGCAGAGCAACCCAAGGGGGGCAGCCAGGTTGGGGGGCAGCACATGCAGTGAACCACCATGCAGAACTCCTGGATGGGTCTCTTCCCGTCCCAGGGTGGGGATCAATGCGCCATCAAGGACAGGAGGTGGGTGCTCCCGGTCCCCTCCTGGACCCAGAGACTCATCAGTACTGGGCTCAGAGCGAGTGTATTGCATGCTTTCCTGGCCAAAGCTACGTGGAAAGCGGGGACAGCAGGCTGGGGAGATGACGCTGAGGGGCGGGGAGGGTAAGCTCCTCGAGGTCCCTTGGCCCCAAGTCACTGCCTCCGAGCTGAGGCCTGATGACCTCCGTACATTCTCAGCTGGTGGGAGGGGAAGTCGTCAAGGCCATAAAGGCAATGAGAACAGTAAACATTTGGCTAAGATGTCCCCCTGCTAAAACAGGGCCATCTACGAGGATGGACTGGAACGAGAATGAACCTACGTGAGCGCAGGAGGTTAGCTAACTGGCAGGGACTCTTCTACGATACGTTTCAGTAGCAAAGACCTGACGGTGTGATCTAGCTAAAAATGACTACAACAGGAAATACATTGCTATTCAAATCTATTAAGAATTCTGTCTTTAAAAAAAAAGAAACAAAAGAAAAAAACCAAAAGCCAAAGAAAAACCAACCAACCCTAGGATCTTAGAGTAGCTATTAATTAGGATGCTAACCACGTGTTAGTTAGCGCCCGGTTGGTTTCCTTGGATGAACTGGTACAGGCTAGAGCTAGGTACAAAAGTTTATGAATGCTTTGAAAGAGTAACAAAGTGCACAGAGGATGACTGCAGGAAGCTGCCGACAGCTCCTCAGAGCCTCAGCCCCTTGCTCCTGCCGGACGCAGGGTGTCCGTGCTGAGGTGGGTCTGGGTCCAGCTGTGCCATGGGGTGGCTGAGCAGATGGGCGCTGGGGTCCCCTTCAGCAGAGTTCCATAGTGTGTTGGGTGTTTTCCTGCAGATTAAGATGAGGAGTTGGTTTTCTGGCTGAGAATTATACTGAAGACTGGTCCCAGACCTAGGAGCAAAATGAGAAGGAGGGGTTTTAGCCATCAGAGGCCAGAAATTGCCCTGCTCACTTTGCATAATCCAAGCAGGAAGCTTGCAGCCCCTGGTTTCTCCTTTGAGCACAGTGCTCTGTGCTCTGCGGGGTGGCACCTCAAAGCTTAGGGTCCGTCAGGGAATGAAATTCACTGAAAAGTCCCCAAAGCTATATATGGATTTCTGTTGTTACACATACACACACCGTTTTATCAGTAAATCATAAGGGATAAGAAAAAACGTTTAGATGGCTTTTCCTCCTCTCTTTAATGGCAGCAGTGCCAAGAGTGAACTGCAGATGGCATTAGGAGAATGCAATCCAGCAAACCGGCTCCTGGTGACAGAAAGGTGGCTCTGCTGTCCAGAGGGGGGCCCTGGAACCGGCTAGCCTGCCGAGGAGGCACCAAGCACTCGGGCCCTCCCCCTGCTCATGGGGGCCCCTTGTCTTCAACACATCTCTCCATCTCCTCAAACGCTAACCTAAAAATTACAGAGAAAATACATGCACATGGTTTTAAAATTTCCAAAGGTTCAAAGTTCTAGAAGGCAACCACTATTACCAGAAAAACTCTCGATGTCCGTGTGTGTGTGTCTGAAGAAAGTAAGGCACAGAACATTTGGTATAGTATGTTATCGTTTGTGTTTAAGAAGGGAGAATACACATATATCTCTGCTTGCAGTATGCATAGAACATCTCTAGAAACCGCGAACACGGGCTGCCTCTGGGGAAGGGAACGATACACCTTTGGTAGCCTATTACCTTTGGAGGTATACACATATACATTTTCCATTTGCTTAGGAAGCTTCTTCTTAAATTAAGTACGTTTTCTTCCTGAGCTTGTTATATGTCCTGCAAAATCTGAATTACAGTAATGGAGTCCCCGTTTTTACAACAGGGGCCTCAGCTCCCCAGGTCACTCACTCTTCTGGCCTCAGGATGGTACCTCACCTTGTTGACCTGGGACAGTGGGGTCCTCACGGCTCCCACCGGCAGCCGGCCCCTGCTGCTGTCTTCAAACAGCCTCCCCGGGGACCGCTCCCTCCGCGTGCTGAGCATCCGGCCCGGGGACTTCTCCCGCTCCAGGGGACGGCCGGGGGACTTGTCCCTGCGCAGCTCCGTCCGCCCCTCTCGGTAGCGGTGGGGTGTGCTTGGCTCTCTCGGGTGGCTGGGGCCTTCGGGTGGCGCCGGGCTGGAGGCCACGCGCTTGGTGATGTGCTCGTTGTACGTCGGCGGGCCTCGCTTGTTGGGGCTGCTGGCAACAGGAGAGGGAGGTGGGGAGCTGAGAAGTCACAACCCCAAGGGGGCATTGTCCTTTTCTGAGCGATCCCCATGCCCCACCACCGATAAACAGAAAAAGATCCCACCTGGAGTTCTTCACGCTTTTTGTTTGTTTTAATTTGGTAGTGAAGACAAGGAAAGAAAGCAAAGATGACGACAAAAGAAAATCAAACTTCCTGGTCTCGGTGCAGGCTTCTTACTGAGCACCTACTGTGTGCCAGGCCCTGCGCTAAGCTCTTTAGGTGCTTTAACTCGTTAAGTTATCATAACAGCTCTACAAGCTAGAAACAAGCATGATGCTCATGTACAGACAAGAAAATGGAGACACACAGAGGCTGCTGACAGGCCCGAGGTAGTGAGCAGCAGAGCTGGGATTCCAATACAGGTCAGTTTGACGTGATAATCCCCTTACTATATCCTACTGACCTAGTATTTTCCAGAGACTATAAGGCACAAAAGGAAGTCTTCACTCAGGGGTTAAGCCTGCTAAAAGGCCCTTGATGCAAAAGAGCAGTTTTGTTTTTTTGTTTTGTGAGGAAGATCAGCCCTGAGCTAACATCCAATACCAATCCTCCTCTTTTTGCCAAGGAAGATTGGCCCTGGGCTAACATCTGTGCTCATCTTCCTCTACTTTATATGGGACGCCACCACAGTATGGCTTGACAAGTGGTGCGTCAGTGCGCGCCCAGGATCCGAACCTGCGAACCCCGGGCTGCCAAAGCAGAGCACATGCACTTAACCGCCGCGCCGCCACCGGGCCGGCCCCGCAAGGGAGCAGTTTTGAGAAAGCCTGTACTCAGCACTGTCAGCTGCCATATCTGTCCCACTCCTAGGCCTGGTGTTTGGTCATCTCTCCTTCCAGGTGGATTTCCAAGAGTCTGTGGCACCTGTTGCTGATGCGAGAGCTGTAGGGATCAGGCCTGATATAATTAGGAAACTGAGCAGGAAAGACAAAAACAGTGCAGCTGGCTCAAAAAATGTCCCTGGCCCCAAAGGTTTATGATTAATAACCAAACAACTGAAAACACTGGGGCCGTTTTTATGACCAATCCAACCCTCCACTCAGCCCTGGCCTGGATATTTCAAATGAAGATTTCAGCAGACATGGCCTTAACCACCTCTGTGAAGCAGCAAGATCCAGAATTACAAAGAGAAGTGAAACGGGGCCTTCCGAGTCAGTTCCTTCCCACCCACAAGGAGCAGAAAAAGTACTTGAGTCCTCATTACCTGAGCATAATTAGTGTTGAGAAAAGGCAACCTACTTAAAATGGGAACAACCTTTTACAGAGAATATTACTTGAAGACATATTTTGATTGATTGGGGCTTTATCTTGGAAAATAAAAGTAGAAATCAGGAAAAGAAATTTATGTTATCCTAGATATTTTTAAAATCTAAATTACGATTGCAGTTATCTGCTGATTCTAAGAATGAACCGAGTGTGACTCACATACTGATTTATTTTGCTCTAATTTTCTCAACAAAATTGTATGCTAACATGCTAGATGACACCCTTTACATCAAGGTTGGACTTCTGCACTAAAATCCCAAAGTCATTTCTTCAAAAATATAGAAGAATTTCATTGGTTTTCCCAAAGGTCTATCTTAATCCTTGATATTTAAATCCTTCTCTTTGGAAGGGACCAAGCTTGTTTATTTTTTTCTTCAATTATTGGTCTAATGCCAGAATCTCTTGTCAATCCCCACAATTGAAAGCAACTGGGCAGCAAAGACACTAACCCACTGGGGAAAGAGAGACTCGAGAGCAAGCCTGAGGGCCAAATCCAGACAGATGCCTGTTTTTATAAGTAAAGTTTTATTGGAACACAGCCATGCCCATCTGGTTATGCACTGTCTGTGGCTGCTTTTGCACTATAACAACAGAGTTGAGTAGTTGAGACAGACCATATGGCCTGCAAAGCCAAAAATATTTACTGTCTGGACCTTTACAGAAAAAGTTTGTCACTTCCTGCTCTACAGTGAAACAGGTTGGTGAGCAGAGAGAATTTTATAAGTGGTCAGTTCATCGTGAATAGTTTCATGTCATCCTCTTGCTTCCCCATGTAACTCGAACTGTGAAGATTCCAGAAGACATGCTCAAAAAGCCAGAACCCCTCTGGGTTATGTGTACAGCAGTAAAATTTGAGATAACTCCAATTTCAACATCTTGAAATCAAGGTTTATATTCATCTCTAGTCATGTGGCTTTAAGATATGGAAGACAAATAAAAAAAATAAATTCCAAGTAGGAGAATTAAGCCTACTTGTAATGGGAGAGAGATAATAAAATGTGTCCACAGAGGCCCATCATAAAGCAAGTGAGAAGGTGCTCACTGCCCAGGGGAAGAAAGATGGCTCAAGGAAGGCCATTCAGGATGTCAGCCTAGATTAATGGGACGACAGAAAACACCCATCATTCTAGGCCGAGTGGGCCACCTTCCATCTCCACACTCATTCATGACCAATGATCTACCACATCAATTGTATGTTTTTTGCAAAGAGTTACATTTCCGGCTCTGCTAAACAGACAAGGCAATGAGGCCTGCAGTGAATCACACTGAGCCAAGCTGGCCTTTTATATTCTGACCTGCCCAAAGCAGTCAGCATAAAAAGACCATTTTATAAGCAAAGAGACAACTAAAGACTAATGCCGATTTTCCAGACATGCCTGGCAACAGCAGGAAAGCAACAGCATTATTTCTGCCCCTTGTTCACAGGAACTGGAACCATTTTCGACCACAGAATAATCAGCTCCTTACAGAGACACCATATAGTCTCAAAGGGAAGGTGCCTGGCCATCTAATTAGTAAAGCAATGGAGAAAAAAATCTAATTACAGTACTTTGATTTGTTCTTGGCATGACACGGAATCTACTTAAAGAAAATCTAGACATTTTCAGAGGAGGACTATAGCCCTTTGAGCAGTCACTCTTCAGGCAGGGTTAAGCCAAAAGAGTTAGGAACAGCTGGTTATTTGGCACGTCTGGTTTTCCAAGTTCCTGGGATTAAAATCACACTGACCAAACATTTCAGACTAATTCTTATATTTCCGCAAAAGAAAGAGGGATTATTCATTAGGACATAGTCCCAGAATATTAAATTGATGACATTCTTTTTCAAGATCTAAGCATTTTTTAATATTAGATGTGGTTCCTTCCCCAAATTGTGAGTCCCTTGAGAATACAGTGTCTTCTTCATCTGTGTATCCACAGCGCCAGACATTGTATCTGGCACATGGTAGGGGGTCCACATAACTCTTTATAGGGTAGACATGTGGAGTTGGTAAATCAGTCCAGAAAATTAAAATCCTAGGTCAATTAAATATTCCCCTGAGTTAAATAATCTTAGACCTTTGCAGACCAAGATCTTAAATTTACACATCTCAAACCTACACATCAGTCTGGATCTAGCTCCTAGCCCTCTGTGTCAAGACAAGGCTGGTCCCACTTCCACACACTGCTGGTGGGATTATAAAAGGGTACAGTCCCCAGGGAGGAAAACTCAGCAACATCTCTCAAAATTAGAAACACTCATCTGATGTCGTCCGTCAATATACTGACACGGAGCAATCTCCGAGAAACATCAAGTTACAGAAGTATATGCACAGGGTGCTATCACCTGTATTAAAAGGAAGGGAAAAAGCAATTCCAGAATGGTAAAGACCTCTGGAAACTTGTTCCTCCATAAAAGCAACAAGAACACTGGCAAAAATTGTCAAAATCAACTTTTCAGAACTCTGGAAATTAACCACAGATTTGCAACAATTTGAAAAGCGTTTGTGCAAGAAAAACAGCTGAATCTCACTAAGAACAACAAGCTTTGTGACATTTTTAACTTGACCTATTCCCACCCCTCTCTCCCCAGATCTGCAGTAGTTTTGAAACCAACAGCCTTGTAACCCACAGAGCATGAAAAACAGCAACGTGGCAGCCACTGGAGGGAGCAGATCAGGATTAAAATTCCCCAAAAAGCCCCATCTCCGGAAAATTGTCACTATCTGTCCTGTCTGGCTACTCCCTTGAAAAGACCATTCTCACAGCTTGTTTTTATTTGACCTGACTTAGAACTTGCTCATGAGAAAAGCCCTATCTCTAGACATGCATCAAAAACAATCAGCGGCAACTGTTTAACATGGCAAATGCCTGAGAGAGTAATACCAGTTGGGGAAAACAAGAGGCTAGTTAAAACACTCAAAAGGAAAATCTGAAAGTAAGATGTCTATGTGGTGGTTTGAAATGGTCCTGCATGTTCCTAGGGAGCTAGAAGACCGCACGCACAGGCAAGGCTGTGCACGTGCCCAGGAAAAACCTGAGAAGGCCTCAGTCTCTCAGCTCTGGCTGACTTGGAGTGTTGAAGGTACGCCCCCAACACACATAGAGAGCTGCTCAGCAAAGGCTGGGAGACTTACTGGTTCAATAAATTTAAGGAAATTGCCGTCCAGTAGAGCTGACCACTGATCTAACGAAGCAGAAACTTCAGTGGCCCCACATAACAAAGAATTCAGACTTTACAGAATTAGTCCAGGAGAGTCACTAAATAAACAGCAACAACAACAACAACAAACCTGGGGTTGGGGGGGGATCTGATTTCCACAGCTGCCACATTACATTATTTGAAATGTTCAGTTTTCAACAAAAAATTACACGACATTCAAAGAAAAAAGAAGCTATAGCCAATACTCAGGGCCTCATTTCTTCTGGGAAATCCTCCCTGGCCCCAAATCCAGGCTGGGGACCCTCCTCTGAGCTCCCACAGTGCCTTAAACTACCCCAATTCAAGCTTCATCCTTCTAGGCTGTGCTGTAATCTCCTGATTTTGTCTCTCTCTCCCACTGGGCTTCATCACGAAGAGGATGCATCTGGTTTATTCACCACGACATCTCCCTCAGCAAGCCCAACTAGCAGGAGAGAATATCTGCTAAAGCAATGAATGCATAATTCATGCTCCATTCCAAACAGAGCCACTGAAAATACCCACCAGAGAAAGGCCAGACGCTCCCTTCTGCCTTTTGCAAGGGGGCAATTTAAAATTCTCCTGACACTTGTAAAGGACTGTGTCATTGCTGTAGATCTCAAAGAAGTGAGTAGCTTGAGCCGGAATACTGAAAAACCTCCAACCAGTTTAGCAAGATTTCCTTCTGCTTTGCATAAAAACACTTTGCTCCCTGTAACGAGGAAGAGGAGAAGTGCGGTACCTGCGGGAGGTGGAGGGGCCCCGGTGGTGCTCAGTGCCGGTCTCCTTCACAAGGTTTCCTTTGCAGCAAATGACTCTTAATTTATCCTGGTATGAGGACGCCAGGTAAATTGCTCCTGAGGAAATTGCAGGGCCCAGGTAGCGTGGGTTCGGGATTTCCAAATACGCTCGGGCGGGGGTCCTGCAGAGTTCCAGACGAGAGTTTGAATGCAGGTTACCTCCGTTGCTAGGCGGGATAGGAAGAAACAGGTGCCCGGCCCCGACACCCAACCCCAGCCCCTGAGCTTTTCAAAGTCTAGAGGGCAATGCTTACCCCAGAGAGGAGCGTGCCTGGATCTCAATTACTTCGAGTGAGTTGAAGTGGGTCACAAACAGATAGGGTTCTCTGTAGGCTGCGTGGCCACCACGGAGGAACAGCGTGGGGCAAGGAAGGGTTAAAAGAGAGAAAATCAAAACCTGGCTGCAATGCATCCTTGGACCCAGCAATCCCACCTAAAGGAATTGATCCTACACCTACATCCATGTGCCAACATAATGGGGCATATTCAGGTTTATTCACTGCCATGTTGTTTGTTAGAGCAAGAGATGGAAACCAACTCAAGTGCACATTCTAGGGGATCAATCAAATAAATGATAGTACATCTCTGGAATTCTGCACCGCTTTAAAAATGCATGAAGGGCTGGCCCCGTGGCTTAGCGGTTGAGTGCACGCACTCCGCTGCTAGCGGCCCGGGTTCGGATCCTGGGCGCGCACCGACGCACCGCTTCTCCGGCCATGCTGAGGCCGCGTCCCACATACAGCAACTAGAAGGATGTGCAGCTATGACATACAACTATCTACTGGGGCTTTGGTGGAAAAAAAATAAATAAATAAAATTATAAAAAAAATAAAATAAAGAAATAAAAATGCATGAAGAAGCCCTCTATGTACCAATGTGGGAAGAAAACCGAGGTGTATTATTTGGTGCATAAAGTGAGGTTCAGAATAATGTAGAAAGTGTGCTACCATACTGATAAAAAAAGAAGGGGGGGTGGAGGATAAGAATATATCTGTTTTTTGTGTCTGTATTTGCATAAAGGTTTGGAAGGATAAGAAACTCCTAAAAGTACTTTTTTTCCTTTGGGGGAATGGGGACAGAATTTGGGAGTTGGGTAATATAGGTGAGACTTTTATTGTATACCTTTTTAGACTGTCTGATGTATACATCTTCAAAAAAATTAAATTTAAAAAAAGGCTAAGTTCATAGATAATTAGATATTTCTGGTCTTTTTTTTTTTTTTTACGTGAGGAAGATCGGCCCTGAGCTAACATCTGCCAATCCTCCTCTTTTTGCTGAGGAAGACTGGCCCTGGGCCAACATCCATGCCCATCTTCCTCCACTCTACATGGGACACCGCCACAGCACAGCTTGACAAGCGGTGCGTCGGTGAGCGCCCGGGATCCGAACCGGCGAACCCTGGGCCACCACAGCGGAGCACGCGCACCCAACCGCTTGCGCCACTGGGCCAGCCCCCAGATATTTCTGGTCTTAATATTATATATCTATATCACAGTGTCACTTAAACTCTAGGATATGATAGGAGCTGCATTCTGTCTTAAACGAAAAAGGACATTATCACTATTGATCCTTGTGGTAAACTACTTGGGTATTAAACGATTAGTCCTGCTTCCCAGTACTCAGGCCCCCGAGGAGTCTCCTTGCCTTGAATCTGGGCTGACCCTGTGGCCTGGCTTTAATCAGTAGAATGTGGTGGAAGCGAGAAGGCCTGCTAGCTTCTGCTTTTGCACTCCTGGAAGAAGCCCATGTAGAGAGGACTGAGGCCTCCACCAGCCCCAGCTGAACTCCCACCAACTACACCAACTGCCTACCATTCTGTGAGGCCGTTTTGGGCTTTGTAGTTGTCCCAGTACCCCCACTGACACCACATGAAGTAGAACTGTCCCGTAAAGCCACAGAATCTTGGGCAATGATAAGTTGTTGTTTTAGGTCACGAAGCTTCAGAACTTGTTATGCATCAAAAGATAAATGAAATAGCCTTGAAGGGTATTTTGGCCATAACGGTATTTCAGAACATTCACACAGACGTGTACATACATATTTGTATGTATGTGTGTGTTTATGTGTGTATGTGTGTGTTTGTGTGTGTGTATGTGTGTGTGTGTGTGTTTATGCTTTAACCCAGCAGTTCCCCTTTTAGGACTTATGAGCAGGGGGTACTTTTTGACAAGTGTGCAAAGATTAGTACAAGATGATCATCACAGCATTGTTTACACTTACAAAAAGAATAGGCATGACCTAAGTGCTCTGCCTACTTAGAACTGGGTATATTGATAGGTGTTCAGCTCTGCCATGGGATACCATGCGCCTTTGAAATGATCAAATAAACTCACAAGGAATGGTCTCCTTTCTATCATGAGAGCCTAACAAATATTTCGTGAAGCTGGTGGATTTGGCTTATGCAGTTATGCATCAGGCCTCAGAATCTCTGCCCTGAACACTTATTCAGGTGACGATCACATACGGCACTTGCTCTCTAATGGAATACACAAGCACAGGGCTTGCGCCAAAAACAATTCCACCTGTACTTCTTTCCCAGGACATCAGCTGCTGGCAGAAAAGGGCCCTCCATACGTTGTCTCACTTACCGAAGGCCAAAGGTAAGCGACTCCACTTGAGATCGTCTGTGCGGCTACGTCTTCCATAAGAATCCACGAACACCCCAAATTCTGCAAAGAGTCAGAGCCCGGGGGCATCAGCATAGCCAGAGGCAGGGGGGATCAATGACACACACTTTGATGGAAGAATAAGAAATGGAGCCCAGGGGACCACCAGCCATATTTAACTGGATCATTAAAACCTCTGCTGAGCCACATCTCTGTGATTTATTAAAGAAAGAGCGTCAGAGGGACCGGCCCTGTGGCATAGTGGTTAAAGTTCAGCATGCTCTGATTTGGTGGCCAGGGTTCTTGGGTTTGGATCCTGGGCATGGACCTACACCACTCGCCAGCCATGCTGTGGCAGCAACCCACATACAAAACAGAGGAAGACTGGCACAGATGTTAGCTCAGGGCTAATCTTCCTCAAGCAAAAAAAAAAACAAAAAAAGGAGGAGGATTGGCAACAAATGTTAGCTCAGAGCCAGTCTTCCTCAGCAAAAAAAGAAAAAATAAATAAGAGGGTCAGGGGGCCAGCTCAGTGGTGTAGTGGTTAAGTTTGCAGGCTCGGCTTCGGTGGCCCAAGGTTCATGGGTTCGGATCCCAGGTGTGGACCTATGCACTGCTTATCAAGCCATACTGTGGCAGGCGTCCCACATATAAAAAGCAGAGGAAGATGGGCACGCATGTTAGCCCAGGGACAATCTTACTCAGCAAAAAGAGGAGGATTGGCAACAGGTGTTAGCTCAGAGCTAATCTTCCTCACCAAAAAAAAAAAGAGTCAGGTAAAAGGCAGGGAGAAATAGGAAAAGAAAAGGGAGATGGAAGGAAGAAGAGACAGGGAGAGGGGAAGGGAGACGCCGAGGAAGGAAGAGAAACAGAGACCCAGAGACAGGAAGAAAGAGACACAAAGACTGAGAGATTGAAAAAAAAAATGAAGAAAAGAAACATCAAGAGAAAAAAGAGAGAAAGAAAGAAAGGCAGAGAGAGAGGAAAGGGAGAGAAAGAAGTGAGGGACAGGGAAGAAAAGAACTGCCTACTCTTGGGAGAGAATATGACAGAGCTGGGCCAGGCCAGTGCCCTGGGGCAGGACAGGGGACCCTGACCTGGGGGCCAGGGGCCTTTGGTAGTGCTGGAATGACGCGCTCTGCCCTCCTAGCAGGACCCGCCCTGCCCCAGAGCCCCACTGAGCACCCGACCCCCGTGGACCCAGTCTGGGCCTCCTGGTGCACGGGAGCACTGGCAGCAGCAGAGGGCAGCGAGCCCGGACCCACCGTGCAAGCAGAGCAGGTACTCCTCCCGCTGCCCTGCGCCGTTCACCTGCGCGATGGAGACAGGGAAACTGCTGGAGGAGGCGGCAAACACAGCCGGGGCCAAGGAGTGGTCGTTCTTATCCAGGAATTCTGGAAAGGCAGGCGAGAAGCAGGGCTTCAGGAATGAGCTCGGGTTGGCGGCAGGGCCGGAGCAGAGTGTGGGCTGGGGAGGAGGACTCGGGCCCTACCCTCAAGCGTGTACTGCTTCATGTCAATTTCGTAGAATTTATTGGTTCCGATGAGGATACTGTAATTGGTGAAGTGGATACAGCTGCAGGGCTCTGAGGTCTCTATCTCCTGAGACAGGGCAGAAGAGGAGACTGTGAGCGTTGACACAGGGCAGCTGCGTCACTATTTCCGCCTTAAGCATCTAACCAAGCCTTGCAGATGGTCGCCACCAGACTTGTTCACGTTGTCGGTCACACAAAGCACACTCAATCTTTTCACATCCCTCACAAGGACCGATGATCCCTTTGCTACCTCTGGGTTCTATGCAACCCTAGACCAATGAGGTCAAATTGCAGCCGAAAATGGGTCAGAAACACCAATTCAATGAAAAGAGAGAGGTTTAACAATACAACATTTTTATCAGAGGAAAAAGCCTGGAAAAATACACCAACTATTAACAGTGGTGGTTAGAGAGAGTGGTTTTAGTTTCCTTCTCTTTGAGGCTGCGAAGTTTCTATTTTGAACTTACATTACCTATATAATTATCATCATCACTGTTGTCATTTATCTGAATTATTTGCCTCCTAATTACTTCCACTTGTTTTCAGGCCAATCCTAATGGCTTCAGAAACCTAGGCATGTTTATTCAAAATGGTGGCCAGGAATTATAAAGAAGCGATGATTTCTGAGACTTTTCCCGAAGCTAACAGTTCAAACTCTAATCAGCATTATCATCATCACTGAAAATGTACTGATCACCTACTAAGTACAAGGAAACTTGCAGGCAGCATAACACCATGAAATGGTAGGGAAATCAAACTTCTGCTTGGGTCCCAACTTCGTGACTTAGGATCTCGGCCAGCCTCAGTCGTCTTACCTGAAAACTGGGGATTAGCACTCCTGCTTTCCAGAACTGTTGCGAAAAGTGTTTGTAAAATAGCCAACTTAGCCTCTGGTACCAGTAGGTGCTCATTAAAAATACAAACTAGGGGCCGGCCCTGTGGCTTAGAGGTTAAGTGCACGCGCTCCACTACTGGCAGCCCGGGTTCGGATCTCAGGCGCACACTGACGCACCACTTCTCCGGCCATGCTGAGGCAGCGTCCCACATACAGCAACTAGAAGGATGTGCAACTACGACATGCAACTATCTCCTGGGGCTTTGGGGGAAAAAAAGAGGACGACTGGCAATAGATGTTAGCTCAGAGCCGGTCTTCCTCAGCAAAAAGAGGAGGATTGGCATGGATGTTAGCCAGGGCTGATTTTCCTTACAAAAGGAAAAAAAAAAAAAATACAAACTAAACTAACAACAGCCCCCAGGATGAAACCATTTCTCTAACAGCTAATGATCCTTATATATTCATCCCTCATTTCACTTTTGAGACTAATCATAAAAGTACCTGAAATAAATCAGGCTGATGATGAGTGGAACATTCTTAGTCTACAGACAATAGATAGCCTCGTCCGGGAGCAAGGCAAATGTAATGATCTAATATGTCCCCTGTCCGTACTGCAGTCAGCATCACAGCTCACTCTGCTCCAAGGAGGACCAGCTCCCTAATTGCATATCAAAACACAGCTAGCAGTAGCTTTTCCAAAGGTTATTAATAGAAATTTCTAGGATCTGAGAAAGATTCTGGTGAGTGCCACCAGGGACTGCTGGCTTCTCAGAGAGAACCCCTTCCTTTTTTCTGGTGGTTCCAAAGAGTGTCTCCTCCGAGTGCCAGCTTCTTTCTCCATTAACAAAAGGCTGAACTCACTGGGCTGGCCGGAGAGGCAGCTCACAAACAGGAGAGGGAAGGTGAGAGGGGAAACTGCAGCTCCTAGTGGCTCTGGAGCTTCCTCCAGGAAGGCAAGGTCTCTCTCTCTCTAAGCAGGTCACCCAGGCTGCAGGGTGAAGGGACCACACTGTTTCCTGAGACTGCACGCTTTCCTCACCAGCTCGCCGAGATCGCAGGACAGGCAATGCCGGGGACTTACTTTCCGAATGCAGTACTTGCTGAGGTTTTCATTGTAGCGGAGAATGACAACTTTGCTGGGCATGGCTGCACAGATGCAGAGCCCGTTCTCAATCTGAAAAGCAGTCGGGGAAAAAGAAAGAAAGAGAAAGAGTATCACTGGTGTGTATACTGGCTCCGTAGCAACACTCGGAAAAGAACATCAACAGAGCAGGGTCTCTCAACCTTAGCACTATGGACACTTTGGACCAGATAATTCTCTGTGGTGAAGGGCTGTTCTGTGCATTATAGGATGTTTAACAGTAACCCTGGCCTCTCCCATTAGATGCCAATGGTACAACTGCCAGTTGTGACAACCAAAAATGTCTCCAGACATGGCCCAGTGTCCCATAGGGGGCAGAATCACTCCTAGATGAGAACCACTGATTTAACAGAGATCCAGAGAAGGCCTCAGGAAGTCCCCACACACATGACCCCACACACATTTTGTGTGTATGTGCCTTTTGCTGGAGACAGATTCTTTTGACAATCTTACCCTCAGGGAGAGGAAAGGCAGTAGAAATTGCTATAAGAATTTAGAGATGAGAGTGGTCCAAAGAGAAAAGTTCTTAGCTAAGATCTGTATATGTACAGTTCTATGTCAAAACTCTCTTTCTAGAACAGCTGAATCCCTCACTTCATCTCCCACAACTAGATCTTTGTAATTTCACTAACGGCAAAAAGAAGCTTATTGCTCAAATCAGTCCTGCTGTGAAGGCCAGCCCCTGTCAGGGGAGCTGGGGAGAGGGGATGGGCTAGGGAAGGAAAACATAGGAAAATGGAAATTGTTGGTAATGTTCTATTCCTTGGGTTGAGGAGTGAGTTTGTTGATGTGTACAGCATTATTAGGTGTTATAATTTTATAATTTACATATATATTCCATACTTTTTTTGAGTATTTCAAACATTATAATGAAATTAATTTAGAATTTTTGGAAACTAAAATGCACATTTTTAAGTAACTCATCATTCACAGAAGAAATCATAAGAAATTTAAAAATATGTGGAATGATAAAAAATTAAAGGGTGCCACTAAAATTGTAGTTAGAGGAAAAGGAATAGCCCTAAAATGCTTGCATTAGAAAAAAGGCCTTAAAAATTAATTTAGCTAAACAAGAAATTAGAAAAAGAATAACAGAGAAAAGCCAGAGAAAACTGAAGGAAAGAAAAAACAAAGTTAAATGAAAGAATTAATGACAAGGAAAATACTGTAATAGAGAGATCAACAAAGCCCAAAGCCACTCCTTTATAAAAATTAATGAAATCAGAATACCTTTGATGAAATGAAGACAAATAAGAGATATGGCACAGGTAATATTAGGGGCGAAAAAGGTAACTACTAATAAGAGAATATAACAAAGAACTAAAGGGAGAAAAAAGAAAATTAAGAAATATTCTCTTCAAAAAGAAAAAAACTTGTTAAAATTGACAAGGGTACAGAGTTTCATGTTACTTGGTCCCTGTCTGCAATTTCCAGTTCCCTCTGGCAAGGACCTTCTATCAGCCCCTTCAAGATTCACCTCCTCCAAGAAATCTTTTCAAATTAACACCTCTAGGCCAGCCATTCTCTTACTTTATATTCTGTCCCCTTCTTATTATTTGCCACAGTTAACCCCAACACTCACGTAAGTGACCCACATGGCCAGAGGGTCCTAAAACCACAAGTCCTCAAAGAACAGTTGGCCAAGGCGAAGTCCCCCCTCTAGAGGCTCCTGTGGCTGACCACATCACCCCCCACGACTCCTCCATCCCTCAGAAAAGACACTCTGAAGGCTCAGTCAAGTACAAGGATGTGCTCGGTAAATGTTGACTGAGCAACTAAATGAGCAAATGCCCAGTGAGCAGTCTTCTGAGAAGGGAAAGGCATTTGCTTTCAGGAGCAGAACCCTAGTAGCCTCAGAGGTTCTACAAATGCTTGATTCAGATTTCATTAAAGTTATACATGTATGTGTGTATACACTCATAAGTACTCAACTGTTTTAATGAGAAAAAAATTTTTTAAAGAGGCAGGCAAGCAAATGTATTTATGTGCCAAATTTCAAATGCTATTAACTACCAAAATTAACTTCAGTTCTCATGAACTGACTTTATGTTATATAAATGTCATAAATTAGAACTTGCAAATTTCTAGTAATAAAACATCCTTTCATCCAGTTCAGACATGGGATTCCATTTTAGATTTCAAAAAAAAAAAAAAAACTCTGTCATACATACATACACACATACACACATTTTCTTTTTAACTATGGATCATCCTTTTAGTTTTGTTAATTTTATTTTCATTTTTCTGATATTTCCTTTAGATTAAAAGCCTGTGCAAGTTTCATGGCTACACAAATTATTTCATGTGCCTAAAGGAAGCAATTGAAATTTAACCCAGTTTGAGGACATACAATTTACAAGGCCAAATCAATAAGCCCTCTGGAAAGAGGGGCAGTGCCAATTTCAAGAACATTCCGCCCTGAGGAGAGCTTACCTTGCCAGCAGCAAACAAGTGGCAGCCCTTGACAGCTTCGAAGATGTTGGGCGAGATGTCTGGCTGGGCGGGAAGGTGGGACTGTGCTAGGGACTGTTTCACCTTCTTCACGTCAACAAGACACAGGGCCCGCTCTTCTCCTGAGGGGAAAAGGAACAGCTTCTCGGTCAGTGTGAGGCCATTAAGCAAAGACACAGGATGGCAGTTCTAGTTCTATTCACAAATAAAAGCCAGCAAGGCCATACAGATGGACTGAGTTTTCCACAGATTCCTGTAAATTTAGGAAGGTCCAACAGTTTGGACCACAGTGTTCCACAGTTTAGGTCCAACTTTTAGGGCTAACATGAAAATACTTGCCCTCTTAGTCAAGATTCTGGAAGGAAAAAAAAATTCTGCAGATGTAAAATCAGAGAATGTGAACTGTACTTTCAAACATGCTCCCCACCAAAGTAAAGACAGAAGTGTTAGGCAACAACAGGGGACATTTTATAAAAGAATAGGCTTGGACTATGCCAATATGTCGATGTCACGGAGGACAAAAGAAAGGCTGAGGATCCATTCCAGATTAAAGGAGACTAAGGAGACAAGACTAAATGCAATGATGATCCTGAACTGGATTGTGAATCAGGAAAAAATACTCCAAAGGACATTATCAGAGCCACAGGTCAATATCTGACTATGGGCAGTATATCAGAAAATTATATTATAGCAAGGGTTGAATTCCCTGAATTCAAAAACTGTACCATGTGAAACTATTCTGTATGATGCTATAAAGGTAGATACATGTCATTCCCTATTTGTCAAAACCCACAGAATGGACAACACCAAGAGTGAACCCTAATGTCAACTCTGGACTCTGGGAGATAACGAGGCATCAGTGTAGGTTCCTCGATTGTAACAACGTAGCACTCTGGTGAGGGAGGTTGATAGCAGGAAGGCTGTGCGTGTGTGGGGGCAGAGGGTGTATGGGAACTCGCTGTACTTTCTGCTCGATTTTGCTCTGAACCTAAAACTGATCTAAAGAATAAAGTCAAGAAGGAAGGGAGGAAAGAAGGAAAGGAAGGAAAGCAAGCAAGAAGAAAGAAAGAAACAAAGTAAGGAAGCTGAAGAAAAGAGCTGAGAGACCATGAAAAGCCAGTTCCTGATCGTACTATTTCAGCCCCTGGATCCATCCAGCTGTGCCTGAAACAAGACCTAACTGTGGATATTTTGAACACTGAGCCAATAAATGATTGTTCTCCTTTGAAAAAAAAAATAGTACCACCAATAAAGAGAGAGAAAAAAATTTTTGCCATGGTTATGGGAGAGAATGCCCTGGTCTTAAGCGATATGCTGCAGAACTTGGGGTCACACTGCAAATGACTCTCAAACAGTTCAAAAAAAGTTAGTGTCTATGTATGTGTAGGAAGAGAGAGAGAAAAAAATGTGGCAAAATGTTAACAGTGGTGACTCTAGACGAAGGGTCTCTGAGAGGTCACAGAGAAATAAGAGACAATGCATGAACAGAGCAGGCAGGCTCTCAGAGGTCACGGCTCACGGAGGCACTGACGCAATGAGGACAAAGGGTCTGCCGTTAACGAGTCTCTGAGGCTCGCTACTCTTCACTAGCGTAACGGTGCAATGTTCTTAGGGGCGTCAGACTGCGCTACATGGGACACCAAGGGAACCGAATCTGAGCAGAGAGCCATCGGCTTGGGCACCAACAGGGAGACAGAAGAAAGAGCCACTTCTGCTCCAACCTGCCACCAGGAGGGCCTGCCTTTGTGTTTCACAAGCATGACATTTGGCTTTCAAATACTTTCCCTTAAAAGTGAAGAAACAGTGCCGTGTCCTTGGCCCCGCACCTGCTATCATGAGTAGCTTCTCCAGGTCCTTGATGATGTAAATCTGGAAGACTGCTCCAATTCCTGGGACGTGGGTGAGGGAATTCTTCAAGACATTCAGTGCATAGAGCCCTTCCTCGGTGCCCACCAATACCACCTGCAAGGGCAGAAGTCCAAAGGCAGAAAGTGAGCAGAATCACGTCACTGTCACAACCCCAAACAGTAAGAGCCACACAGCCGACATGGCTCTTTCTTGACTGCATGTCACAATGGCCAGACACTAGCTGACAGTGTGCAAAAAACACCCTGACCTGGTCGCTGAAGGGCAGTGTGCAGTTCATGTCTAAACGGTCATCACCTTCCAGTTTTAGCAGGGAGTTTCCAAGCAATTTCTTTGCATACGTGAAAGAAAAAAAAGAAAAGAGTACATGGTAAGATTGAACTGTCCATGACCAAACCATCCAGAGAGACAAAAACAAGACCCGAGAGAAGTTTAATGCCGGGAAGAAAGACAAGTCACTCCTGCAAATGCTCAGAAACACACATCTGCTCTTGGCTCGCTCTGTCTTTTGATCTGAGCTCAAAAGGCAAAACGTGAATGTTATTAGTATCTCTGGGATGGTGGTTAATTAGCATCGGAGTTATAACTCGGCTTGGACTCAGAAATAACTGAGCGTCGTAGACGTAGAGAGCCATTCTGTGGTAGGAAATAAGCTGAAGCTAAAGAGATGTCACCTGCAAAGAGTTAATAAGCCACATGGAAGGCTCCTTCCCCTCCAAGCTGCAGCGAAAGTGCAAAGCACAGTGTCAGCAGCAAACCAACAGCTTCTGAATCTCTTTACCTGAACCCACGCAGGCAGAAGCTCGGAGAAAACACAGTCATGGCCCTAGTGTACACATGTGAACGTGGATTTCAGTAAAAGGCTCCCATGGGTGACAACAAAACAGGTCATCAAAACAAGTCTACCCAGTGAGCAAAGCTCCTATCAAGAGGCTCATGGTTCAGAATTTTCCGATTGTTAACACTTAAAGTGTTTATTAGGACCTAAGTGTTTGAAAAGAGCTGTTTGGTCTTTGGTGGAGAAAACGCCAATGAGCGATGACTGCTGTTTGTATCCTAGAATGTTCTAGGAGGAGGGATGCCAATCAAGGCACCTACGTTTCTAACATCTTAAGGATGAGTAGGATTTCAAACCTGCCTACGGAAGAACAAATCGTGTGGAAGCAACTGAGAAGGTTATGAAAAGCCTTTCTGAAGTAGACGTGGCTGTCGGTAGCCTTTTGTGCTGCTTCGTGGCCAAGATGCTTCTAACGCAAGCCTTCAAACCAAATAAACTCAAGAGAGTAAACAAGAGAGGATTTCCTTATAAGTACGTTTGCTGCTATGTTGCCATAATCAAGATCTATCACGCCCCAGGAGCTGGCTAACGGTGCTGACTCCCCCGTTCTAAAGGGCTCTGGGGGGAGGACCCGTGATGCCAGACAAGCCACCTCAGAGCCTGTATCTCTATCACCACAAAAGTCCCAGCCATGACAGTCTCCAGCCATCACCCCTCAGAGAGGGAGCCCGAGGGAGATCACGGCAGCCCACGGGAGTCGCACCAAGTCAGACCCCTTTAGAAAGACGAGCTCCTGCGCCCGTTTGTATACTCACAGCATCGGCTTCTGCTTTTTCCCTAGACACTCTCCCACCTGCGACAACTGATTCTAAGGCGGTGACCCAGCGCTGTTTGTCGGGGAAGCTGGGCGCTAGCAAGTAGAGGGTTCTCCCGGGCCAGCAGGTGGTGTGCGGGTGAGATTCCATCTTCAGTACGTATGGGACATCTAGGAGATTTGACAGAGAGCAGAGGGTTGGGTGTGGGGTCCCCCTCTCTCGCTGGGAGGGACGGCCCTGAGATACAGAGACAGTGCCAAGCCACATGAGTCCTAGTTACTGCTAAGACGGGGGAGCTGAGGCAGTTGGGCCTCCACTGCAGGCCAGTCCTCCAGGTGCCCCTCCTGCCCTTGCTGATTTATCAAGCCCTGCCCACCTCCAGAGTGGGGCTCCCCCACTTCTCCTCACCTGCTTTGGCTGTATTCGCGAGTTCAGAAGCACCAACGGCGCCATGAATAGATACGTCCCCGTCGGGAAGGCACAGCTCAAATTCTTCCACGGGCCTCTGTCCAGCTTGGTGCAAAGAGGCAGCACAGAAAGAAAAACAAAAGAACAGGAACGAGAACAAGGGGAAAAGAGAGGGAGAGAGAGAGAGAGGGGGCAAGAGACAGCATGCATGGAAAGAGAGGCGCACGAGAACAAAGGAGGAGGGAAGAGGTGTGCAGAGAAGGCGGAGAGGGAAGATAAAAAAAAATAAAGTGTGTCAGATGAGTAGCACAGTCAAATTTCGGATGACGATGCGGATTTATGGGTTAGTTGACTGAGGCAGAAGTTCTCTGAAGGTGTATTAGCAGGTAGAATCTTCAGGGCAGCACCCTGCAGGTTCTTCAGAGGGGAGACCTATAGATGTGAGTATCGTACCAATAACCTTTAGCGAAGTCATCTGGGTTTTAGTTTTCAAAAATGGAAAATCGTAGAAGGCTTGCAACGCAGTCCAAAAGACCAAGCCTTCACGCCGAGACTGGGAGACCTGGGTCAACCACGTGCAATGAAATTCCCCCTGAATCATGAATTTACCTTCTCTGGCTTCGCTGTCATAAATGAGGACTTTGGATCCCTCCAGGACGATGTACTTCCTGTCCCAGCCTTGCTGTCCTCGCTTGTTATTCCTGGGAAACAGAGACGGCAACGAAGAGATGTTTGAACTCAGAAGAATCAGGCGGGAGGAAGGAGGGGATGGGGAGGGAATCTTCCCTAGAAAAGACGGTTCCCTAGAAAGCATCAGGAACGGAAGTGCCAGAGCAGGGAGGAAAAGCCTCCTTCTACTCTTCCAGGTTCTGTGGCTGGCCTAGGGATTCAACCCATCTAAGGCAGAGGAACCGGAGAAAAGCCTACAAATTTTATTTTATATGTACATGGGCATCTCCACAAGAAAATAAAGACCCAAGTGTTTGTATACTAGGTTGAACAAAGAGTAGTAGTTGTGAAAAAGTAACTAAAATGTACGGGAAAGCTAAAGGAAGACGAGAGTCTCTTTAACAAGGTCTGTTGGCACAGATTTCTCTCGGCCGGCCTTGACTCCCTGCCTCTGGTGATAAGAATGCTTCTTTCCTCTTGGTATAGGAAGGGCAGCTTTTAGACGGGAGTTTTACCTCCTATTTTCAAGAAGATAAAGGGGAGGTCAGAGTGTCCTTCTTGTACGTGCCGTTTTTCAAGTGCCTTTAGCTCAAAGTAATTTTTAACCCCAACTGGCATATTTTGGGGTGGCACATTCTGCCATGCTTCACCAGCACCTGCCCCGGCCCAGGCCACCCTGCAACGGTACCTGGGCACCTTCATCCACCCTTCCAGGTGCAAGCTGCTGCTGGGCTCCTTGGTCTGGAGGCCCGGGGAGTTCATTTTGTCACGGCAGAAGGCCTCGGTGAAGTGCGTGGCATATTCGGCTGGCAGGCCACAGGTAGCTGGCAAGCACGTGGAGCACTTGGGATGACACATCACCTGACATTCTAGGGAAAAGCAGTGAACCACCTGAAGACACGCTGGGCTGATCCTGGACCATTCCCTTCCTCCGCCCGCCAACCCCCTGCCGGGCCCGACAGTCTGGCCCTGCCATCCAGGTAGTCCCTAAGCTTTCCCAGGAGCCAGGCCCCTACAGAGAGAAAACAAGAGCCAAGCACCCTGGACCCAATTTTCCTGGCTTCTCCCAGGCTGCCACAAACAGGTGTGTAAAGGACACATTTGCATGTTTCACTTGGAGCCAGCACACAGCCTAAAGGCAGGCAGAGACCAGCCTGATGAAGAGAGGGCTGGAAATTAGCATGGCCCAGGGCATTTTGCAAGGGGGGTGGAGACAGGAGCTGAAAACGTGTATAAACGCACTCATTTATCAGGGGAAAAAGGGCGTCCTCCCACTGAAACGAAAAGCTTGAAAATGAATGCACTATATGATGAGGAATTTAAAAAGGAAAAAAAAAACCACCTCCATCGGATAGATTTTTTTAGGTGGAGATGCATATGTGCCCACCGCACAAATGCACAGCTGCTGCTCTTACCAAGACATTTGGATGCCTGGCGTCCAAAGTGCACAGTATCCAGACACACAGCGCACTTTGTGGCTCGCATGTTCAGTCCTACGTTAAATCGGTGAGGAATGTTGTGGTGCATGCGCTCCTTAAGACGCCGACTGAATTCTGGAGGAAAATGTTTTAAAAAATCGTTAGAGTGCTATGAACGACACCATTAAGAAGGTGAAAAGACAACCCACAGAATGAGAAAAAACATGTGCAAATCATATCTCTGACAAGCAACTTGTAGACAGAATCTATAAAGAACTCCTACAATGCAATAACAAAAAGACAACCCAATTGAAAAATGGAAAAAGGATTTGAACAGACATCTCTCCAAAGAAGATAAATAAATGGCCAACAAGCACATGAAAAGATGCTCAACATCATTAGTCATTAGGGAGACGCAAATCAAAACCACAATGAGATACTAGTTCACCCTCACAAGCTTGTCTAGAATCGAAAATATGGACAACAAGCGTTGGTGAGGGTGTCGAGAAATGGAATTCTCATACATTGCTGGTGGGAATATAAACGGCTGCAGCCACTCTGGAATCCAGTTTGGTAGTCCCTCGTAAAGCTAAACATAGGACTACCATATGACCCAGCAATTTCTACTCCTAAGTATATACTCAAGAAAATTGAATACATATGTAGCCACAAAAATTTGTACACAAATATTCATAGCAGCATTATTTATGATAGCCAAAAAAATGGAAACAACCCAAATGTCCATCAATGGATTAACAGATAAACAAGATGTGATTTCCATACAATAGAATATTATTCAGCCATAAAAAAAGAAGTACTGCTACATGCTGCAACATGAATCGCAAAAACATGATGCTCTGGGGCCGGCCCGCTGGCATAGCGGTTAAGTGCGCGCACTCTGCTTCGCGGCCCGGGGTTCGCAGATTCGGATCCCAGGCGCGCACCCACGCGCCGCTTGTCAAGCCATGCTGTGGCCGCGTCCCATATAACGTAGAGGAAGATGGGCACAGATGTTAGCCCAGGGCCAATCTTTCTCGGCAAAAAAGAGGAGGATTGGTATTGGATATTAGCTCAGGGCTGATCTTCCTCACAAAAAAAATAAAACAAAAAATGTGATGCTCAGTGAAAGAAGGGGGCAGACACAAAAGACTACATATGGTATGATTCCATTTATATGAAATGTCAAGAATAGCAAATCCATAGAGACAGAAAGCAGATCAGTGGTTGCCAGAGGTTGGGCAGAGGGAGAAGTGGGAAGTGACTGCTAACGGATTAGAGTCGTTTTTAGAGGGGAAAGGTGGGGCCAAAAATGTTCAAAAACTAGAATGTGATGGTGGCACAACCTTATGAACTTAATAAAAAACAATGAATTCTACATTTCAAATGAGTGAATTGTATGGTATGTCAATTTATCTGAATAAGCTATTAAAAAACCATTAGAGCAGGTTAGTTACAGATTGTGAAACTATTTATAACACTAACAGATGCATCTAGATTTACATGAATTAACTCAAAATCTCCATTATCAAGTTATTAGGAATTAGGGTTTTTTTAAGGACATATTACTGGTAAGAGATTGGCTATACGATAGCATAGATGTTTGTGGGCATAAAGAAACACATGCTTTTAAGCCAAATGTTTATAAATATTTTAGTCATGAAAGCTTTGTTTTCCAAATGAAATCTTCTATCTAGAGCTTTTCAGAATGCAGTTTAAAATCACTATTATAAATTATAGAATTTCTAATTATGAAATATATAAACTGATGGAAGAATTCTCCCTTCATGTCCAGTTCCTTCATGAAAATTCTCCTTTTGTTAAAAACTCAACTTTTAAGCCTCCAAGTATTGAGTCTTACATTTATATTCCAGGCTGTTAAAATTAACAAGATTGATTTTTTTTCTATTTAATAGGCCCCCTCTCAATAGTGAGCTAGAACTAGTTAAAGGCAGCTTTAAACAGAGAGAAAAGCTCAGGATCCAAACTTCTGAATCCAAATTGTGTTCTCCATATAACATCATCCCCCTCCTTTATCAGAAAGTTGTGAGGAATAAAGAACACATATGCGCTTTGAAACTGTTAACATGCAACACACCCAGAGGAGGTGCCTGGAGTATTAGGAACGACTCGGTAGCTGCTCTATACAACTAAAGTAGGTTTGACTGTGACACCATGATGCTAACCCACAGCTCTACCCCAATCTCTCTAAGACTTTCCAAACCACCTTCCTTGGCCTTTTTTTTTTTAAGTCTTTTTCATCTCTAGGTCAACAGACTACTTTTGAGACCACAAAGAAAACTCCTTAAGCTGCTGGTAGGAATATAAATTTGCACAAACTACCAATACTCAAAACACACATAATCTTTAACCTGACAATTCATTTCCCAAGAACTTATCCTATAGCCATAATGCCCACAGAGGTGCAGGATGTTCACTACAGGGTGTTTATGGTAACGAGGAATTGGAAATAACCTAAATGCCCATCAACAGGGGTCTGGTTTAACAGATGAATCATATATCCATACCATGGAATATTATGCAGCCCTTTAAAAGTTTGAAGTGGATCCATATGTGTTAATAAGAAATACTCTAAGATAACATTTTAACTAAAAGAGGAAAGGTGTTTTGCAGAGTATAGCATAGTGTGCTATGATATTTATAAAAGAAAAAAGGGCTGAGAAAAATATGCATATTTTCTCACTCTTTAAATATACATGTATAATAACAGATACATGAATAACATGTGGTTACATGCATGAACTAAGGCAGGAAGAATATAACTGTTGACTTTGAGTAAGGGAACTGGGATGGGGTGTGGGGAGAAGACCTATTTCTTACTTTTTATCCTTTAGTTTTATTTCTTATTATTTTTACCGTATGTCTGCATTAAAAAAAATTTCAAGAAAACCCCAATGGCCCCTTGAGAACGTACCCTCTGGAGTTGAAGACTCCTTTCTGCGGCTGGATGGCGGGGCGAGCAGGCTCATGGCACTGGGCTGGTGCTCGGGTGACCGCACGATGGCAGACATGGCGATCTGCTGCCTCGCGGTGGCTGGCGTAGATGGGTGCGGGTGGTCTGTGGCTTTCCGGTGGGCAGCTGGAGAGAGACCAGTCCAAGGCCTTTTGGTTAGCTGGGTCACCAGGAGGACCAAACCAAGTGGACCGCCCCTGGGCTGTCTTTCAAGGACCCGAGACCAAAAGGACACACATCATGCCAAATCGGCAAAGCCAAGGATGCTGTGAATTTTTCAGACTTGGGACGTCTGGACTGAAAGCACATGGGCCATAGATACAGATGCTCAACTAGTACGACCAATCTCCTTGAGATCGGTCCTCTGCCTTTTCCACAGCCCTTTGTGTAGAGAGTGCCCCTACCTTCCTCCCGGGCGGACCGGAGCTCGATGCGGGTCTTCTGAAGGGCTTCCTCTAGCTCTGCACAGCGAGCTTTCTCCTTCTCCAGAGCCACCTTCAGCTCATTGTACTGCAGAGGAACCTGTGTGGGCAAAGCAGGGTCCTCTTTCCGTCGACTAAATAAACCCTAGCAATGGAAACAGAGATATCTCCTAACTCCTGGAAACTGGCACTTTAAACTAGCTAAAGGAACTGTGACTCGGGGACAAGCAAACCACGAAAGCCGGGAGCATACTCACTGGAAGCGATTTAGTAAAAATGGCATGTGAAGGGGGAGGGGGAGACTGAGCCACAGCCATTCCAGCCGGCTGGAAAAAAATAGGGGTGCGGAGTTTTCACCAAGAGGCTTAAAGACGCTTCAATTGCCACCACCTCTTCCTTTAGCATTTCCAAGGAGAGCCATTTCCTGAGTCTTTACCCTCAAAAAATGGAAGTGGAGGATGGAGTCAGGAGAGATGGTTCAGAAATCACTCTTGCCTTGAATTTGTCTCATGATGCTTAGTTACAAGACACAGAGATGCGCGTTTTAAAAAAAGGAAGCAAAAAAATTGAATACTAAAACGATGTCAAAACAAGGGGCATACTTAAAAAAATGCAAATGGAACATGTACTGTACATGAAGAAAAAAGAAAAACAGAAAAAAGCAACTGAAAAAAAATTAACAGAAAAAAAAAAAGGAAACACCCTAACTATATCAAGTGACATAATCAGATAACAGTCCACTGCTAAAAATAAAAAAGATTAAATCTCATAAGCATAACAAGCACATACAGTCACACGAGACACAAGAAAATCCTTCCCCTACAGCCACCACTTAGTAGCAGGCTGCTTCTGAGTGTCGCTCTCGTCTCCTTATAGTACAAGAGCATCGGGATCCACTGGGACCAACTGCCCACTTCCATCCACTCCTCACTATTCCAAGTCATCAGAGGCCTTTCCTGCAAAACCGCTGCCACTGCTACTCTGTGTACAAATGCCTTTGGAAGGAAACTGCGAGCTCCTTAGAGGCCCTTGTGAACTGCGAACACTTGGCCAAACCCAGGAGGAGGGCTTCAGTGGTCTAGGGAAGCATGTTTTGGGCTCATTAGAAATCTTCCCTCGTGCATATACATATAACCCTGTCCACGGTGGTTTTTTTCTTTTTTGGGCCATGGTTTTTAATCTGTTTGTCTGTAACAATTTTAAAGGGATGGAGCAGTACTTGGTGGAGGGTATAGCTATCAATCAGGCACTTTATGTGGGTCATTTCAACAATCTGGCTCCCAGTCTCTTTGTGAGCCAATCAAACAAAAGGACTGGGCCAGATGATTTCTAGTCTTTTCTAGAGTCCCATATAGATGACCTGAGAATCCCTCTCTCCCTAAAGTCCCAGACATGGGACCTGCTACTCCCTCTGAAGTCCTGGACGCCTACCTATGTATCAACCTTTCTCTCTGCATACCACCCCCGCTCCAGCTGCTTAGGGAAAAAAAATCCTGCCTTAACAGACACCACAATTTTAAAGTCCATGAACAGAAAATAGTTTGTTACAGACTTCATAATGATATCCTCTCTTTAAGGGCTATTCTGATCATCTCAAAACCTATTTTTCAACCCAAACAAAACAAAAAAATGTGCACTTTGTTCTCTTCGATGTTCCTAGGATGATCTATCAACCACAGTATACACTGAATCATAGGATCGAGACAAACTGTCAATTCTCCCCTTTTCAAACACTTTGACCCACCTTTTTCTTTTTAGCAGGTTGGTCCATTTTGGCTTGCAGAAAATCAATGAGTTTGGTTTGCTGAGAAATGGTGCCTTCCATTTTCACCTTTTCATGAGAATAAAGAACCTAGAATTCACGAAAACAAAAATAACCTCAGACCCAGAAAGAAGGATACTTTTAAATTTGGTACTTTAAGAAAATAAAAAAGAAAGTCGTTAGGATATTAGCATATGAAAATTCAACACAAATGCACTGGATCAATATTTATTTACTTAGTCCTAATCTTACTGCTAAAAAACAAAGACGGAGGATGGATGGACAGATATGTGAAAAAGTAAAAATAGCAAATGACTAATATTAAAATCTAGGGAGTGGTCATTATAGAAATTTTCCAACTTCTCTGAATGTTAGAAAATTTTTATAATGAAATATTGGAGAAAATACACAACAGTACACAACATAAAGATACTGACCATTTCTCCAGATGGCTTTCAGCCATCATGCTTTGCCTCTGCAGACATTTTTTGTGTGTGTGTGAGGAAGACTGGCCCTGAGCTAACATCTGTGCCAATCTTCCTCTATTTTGTATGCGGGATGCCGCCACAGCATAGCTTGATGAGTGGTGTGTAGGTCCACGCCCGGGATCTGAACCCCTGAACCCCTGGCCACAGAAGCAGAGCTCATGAACTTAACCACTACGCCACCGGGCCAGGCCCTGCAGACCATTTTTAAGTAAATTCCCTCTGCTGGTTCTCACCTGAATGTTTTCCAGCTGATATTCCAGATCACTCCTTTCTGTCTTCAGCAGATCAGCCCGATCTAGAGCTTCCTGCAGCCCTTGAGTCAGACGGAAAATATGATTCTTCTGCAGGTCCATCTGCTGCTGTAATTTGGCTTGCTAGTGGGGAGAAAGGCCGGAGAGAGGCTCGATATCACACACAATACATCTTGTTCCCTCACTGTTCCAATTACCAAACTAATTTCAGGCATGGCACCAAAAGTTCGCCTTTTCAAACCATCTCATTCCAGAATTGCCAATTGTCTTCTACTCCAAAATGATGCATGCATGGTTAAAAAGAATTTGCACAGAAATCTTGCATGGCCAGCAAGTCACAGGATGCCCACTGTAACAGAACGTCCAGGCTGGTGGGTCTGGCCTTCCCAGTCAGAGCTGGCAGTTAATTTTGGTACTTAAGAGTCTAGGCCATCTGAGTTGACATCTAAGGCAGTGAGACTTACTACCATGACAACTAAGTTCCAATTTGTCCTTATTTTTTGTTTTTAATATCTCAATTGCTATTATGAGGAATCACTTTGCATGGGCAGTGTGGAATACATAAGGGGAATCACATCACCTCCAACTGAAAGAGTGCCCCATCAGGGAGAGGGACCCCAACAAGCAAACAAATAGCCACAGTCGTAGGAGATACTTCTACAGTGTGGGGAGGAAAGAAGAGGAAGATCCCAGATTCAGTACGAGTGTTGGCAAAACCCAGAAAAAAAATTTCAATTTAGTATACTGGAAATAGTTTTGTGCTGGAAATCTCTCCCCAGTTTTTATAATGGGAGTCAACAAGAAAATAGGGCAGGTTATAAAGATACTGATTTTATAGCTTTCTTTCCTAAAATGCTTCTGTTTCTACAAAGCAGGAGACAGCAGCTATCTGACAAGATGCTGCTTGATTTCATCCAACCCCTGGTTTACAGTCTTAACCACGCTAGCAGTGGCCCAAATACTCTCTTCCCTGGTGGACTAGACCCTCTGCAGACCTAAAGACAGAGAGCTACTGAAGAGCAATAAACATTACCACAAGACTTTCCCAACAGGCAATGGCAAATCTCAGTGCTTCCATCCCCAGCAGGCTGAGAGCCATGACGACCTCTTGCTGACCCTCTCCGTCTTAACTTCGTTTCCCTCCACCTATGTTTTAGTTTTCTTTCCATTTCTACTCCTCATCTGCCCTTCCTCTTCAGAGGTAGCTGATTCCTTGAGGCTCATGGTGTAGTGGAACAAACCTGGGCTTTAGAATGTTAGAGACCCTGGTTTAAATCCTGACTTTAACACGTATCAGCCATACGACCATGGGATGCTCACATGGCCTCTGTTCCAATTACCAAACTAATTTCAGGGGCCTCATGATCTTCCTCTGAAAAAGGGTATAATACCTGCCCTCACTGGTGACATCCTGAGCACAGTGCCCAGCATACAGCAGGCGCTCAATGAATTTTAGTGCTATCCCCTTTGTCCTTCTTTCTTCCCTCTGTCCAGTTCAGGTGCTCTCCTCTCCCCTTCCCATCTGCCTTTCCCATCCCAACCTTCTCCGCCAGCCTCTTCCCTATCAGGCCTCCATCAAGCAAGAGATACTGTTACTAGCCAGAGACCCCCTGGCCCGTGTGCCAACCTGGAATTTCTGAATCAAACCACAGAACCCCCAAAAACACAGGAAAAAAAGAAAGAAAGAAAATAGCTAAGATAACCTCTTAAAGGGACCTATCAGTCCCCTGCAGCACAAGTGATTTCTTCCACAAATTACCCTCTTTGGTTTCTTCCCACTATTTTAGGACAACGTTAATTGCTAGGCAGGAGGCAGAGAAACAAGTGCCGGGGACAAGAATCTGTTTGGTGACAGCCAGGCCCAAAATATTTTTCTAGAATAAACACATCAACTGTCCACTAGCTTTCCAAGAAATAGGCTGCTTATTTACTATAATAAAAAGCAGCTACAAGTGACATTCGTGCTCAGTGAAATGTTTTTCCAAACCATCTCCCAGAGAGAGGCAAATGGAGGCTATTCATGGGTCAGCATTAGACTGAAAGGAGGCTTTAGCTATGTGCTTAGATCTGTCCAACAATTTTACAAGGGTGACAGGAGACTGGGAGGAAGCATGAAGGAGTTGGATGACATAACGAGAGCATGAAACAACCCTGGTGGCTGGAAATATGGATCAAAACCAACAAGAGAAAGTTCAATAGGATGGTATTCTTTAAAACATGAACTGAATAAATACAGAACGCAAAGATGTTGAAAAACACACACACACTTGTGGAAGGGTGGGTGGTGACTTAACAGGTCAATGGGTGTCAACAGTGTGATAAAGCTACCCAAAGAGCCCGGGCCATTGGCAGAGGCCTACAGAGCCCAGAATGGAGATGGAGATATCCCCCTGTATTCCATGCCGTTCAGACCACATGGCCCTCTAGAAACTGTCTTTGGAAAGATAAATCTACCAGAAAAGAACATCCCAAATTGGGAGGGACCCAAAACGTTTCATTGAAAAAAGAGAAGGAGATTTGGAGTGAGAGAGCTACTTGATATCTAATCCACTGTCATGGAGATAACAAAAGTCATTATCTCACAGAATTGTCACAAGGACTATATGAGTTAATTCACATAAAGTACTCAGAAAGGCACTTGGCACATATTAAGTTCTAACTAAATGTTAATTATTTTGATTAATAATCAAGTATTTGATTACTAATCAATATTAATCTCCTATTTTGGTTGGAAATATCAGACTACTCTCAATTGTCAAACGTTTCAACCTAATAGAATCCATGTGTGGACGTTACAGGCTTTAGTTCAAAATAAGCAAGGACTTTCTAAGAATTAGAGTTGCTGAAAAAAATGGGTTGGAATGTGAAAGTCACTGTAAGTACTGAGGCGAAGGTTCAAGAAGGCTCACCTGTGAGGAATGTTGGGGAAGGGATTCTCTATCTTGGACAAGAGATTAATTTGACCAGGATTAGCAAATGGACTTTCATCTCTGGCGTTACTTCCAATGGACTGATAGTGGCCGTAAAGTGCCATGTCGAAAAAGCTTCTGAGCCCATCTCAGGCCCAAGAGGAAAGACTTGCGAGAAAGACCCATTAGTAACGTTGGCCAGGGGCAGGGATGAAGGGAACAGTGGCACGAGTGCTGGGAATTTGAACTAGATGACATAAAAAAATTACTTCCAACTCTGAGACTCTGATTCTGGCCCCATTTTCAAGTCTCTGTACCCCATGAAGAGGACACTAGGTTAAGCCCTTGGTCACATGCTTATAAAGTGCACACCACAACCAAGGATCCTAGCCACATTTTGGACAATGAAGATCATTCTTTGTTTCATAATGGTTTCAACTGTCAGCGAAATCTGCCTCAAACTCAATGTCAGCCAGATGTCTGTGCTCAAAAATCTATCTGTGAGGTACAGACTGAGAAACTGGAAATGTTCTCACGCAGTTTAGAAGTGAGAACGAGGGGACTGAATCCAGCATTCTATTCCTAGCGTTGTCACTGACTCACCATGTAACCTTGGACCAAAGTATTGAGCTATCAGGGCCAACTCTCCTTCCGAGGAAGGAAAATAGGACAGGCGAGATCATTGATTATGTCTGTTCTTTCTGTTTCCAACAAGTGTCCAAAGTGGGGACACTGCCTATTCATTCCAGATAAAAGGCCAAAATTCTCTCTTTGAACACCAGGTAGTTTTTTAATTTCTATTACAGTGTTCTTAGTGCTGCCTTTGGTGAACTTCCCATCCATGTATATATATAATTAATTTTATTTTTAAAATTTTTTATTGTGGTAAAATACACATAAAACTTACCATTTTAACCACTTTTAAGTGTACAGTTCAGTGGCACTAAGTACATTCACACTGTTGTACAACCATCATCTCCAAAACTTTCCCAAACTCCCACCCATGTTTTTTAAAGTATCATTCTATAAAACATTCATACTCACCTATAAAATTTTCACCACACTTTCCAAACTTAATAACATAGCAATATTATTTCTACTAACAGAGCTCCTGGGGAGTTATGGGTATCATACAATAAAATCTCAATTAACTAAAACAGGTAATCTGGTGAATTGAACTGTCAGGCTCCCTATGGATTAAACAGAACACTCTTGGAGTCCAACTTCTTGTTAAATATCTTTATCAAGTACGTTTGTCCTGGTTGGTCAATTCTAATAAACAAAGCAGAATCATTAGTGATTCAACATATATGGCTTTGCTTGGGAGTGGGGAGTAGTCATCAATTTAAATGGAAATTTTCAGAATTCTGTTAAAAGGTATAGGAAATAACAGAAGGGACGGGTTTAGCAGATCCATTTGAGCTTTTCATTTTATGTCTCAAAAGCAGGGCATAATTTTTTTTAACTGAACTAACTGAATGTTCAAAAGTCTTCATGAAATTTGGTACTTAGCATAATCTGATCAAGTCTCTGCCCTGTGCATAAAGCTAATTTGCATGGATGTGCTATCAGCTTGTAACTTAATATACTCTGGATATTAACTCTAAAGAACAATTTAACTCAACATTCATTCACCTGTATATTTAATAAACTTCCTCTTGGCACATACTCACTATGCGCTTGATACTCTATTAAGCACAATGTGAGACAACACAAGTGACAGAGACCCTCTGGCCTTCATGACACATTCTTTAATGTGTTAAATACCTTCAAGAAAGTATTAAGTGACCATCTTACTCTTTCTCAAAAATTCTTTTTTTTTAATTATTTTTTTTTTTTTTCGCTGAGGAAGATTTACCCTGAGCTAACATCTGCGCCAATCTTCCTCTATTTTATACGTGGGACACTGCCATGGCATGGCTGACAAGTGGTGTGGGTCCACGCCTGGGATCTGAACCCACACACCCAGGCCACCAAAGCAGAGCGTGCCAAACTTAACCACTACACCACAGGGCTGGCCCCTTCCTCAAAAATTCTAATTTCAAAATCTGAATGTTTAATTTGGATCTGACTACCTGAACATAAATTTTCACTTTTGAAATTCCACCTGGCTCTATTTACCAGGTGTCTTACACTCACCTCTTCCAGAAGCCTTTGTTTGAGCTCTCGTTCAGTCTCCAGCTTCTGTTGTAAACTTCGGGCATTCATTTCAAGCATGGCATGTTTCTTCTCCAGGTCATTGAGCTGGACATTTGGAAAAATTGGCCATGATACCACATTTAGGAATGTCAGATGCTAATGACTTTTTCAAATATCCACAAACCTTCATATGTGAAGAATAATCAAGTTCTAAAGGTCAGAATATAAATATTGTTTTTTAAAAGTTTATCACAAAAGTCCATGTCATAGACAAGCCTTATATAAGTTATTCTGTAAGGATAGGAATTATTTCTAAGGGATGGGTCATATAAATAGCTGCGACAAGTTCTAAAAGAATGATTCCTTTGGCTGGATTTAATTAAATAATCATATGCTGAATGCTTACTACCTGCACAGGATTACCTCAGGGGCTTTTGGGAAAAAAGGATGGACGAGCTCTCTCAAGGATCTTACATGAAGTCACAAGCTGAGGGTGGCCCACAACTAGACATACAAACAAAAAAATGACTGCTTTGTCACATGATAATTTTGATATGGAGAAGAGAAATTGATCCCGAATTACCAGTCATCAAGAAAAGATGGTATCAGAATGTCTAGAGACTTAAAGGATAGGTAGGACTTTACTAGAGAATACTTTAAGAACAGTCAAATAGAAAAAAAAATTCTTCAAGTTAAACACAAAACAGTTTATTTATCTCTAAATAATATATTTATTTTCCTTGTGAAAAAAAAAACAGTAAGACAGCATCAAGGAACTCTGGAATGTTCCTGAGTGGCAAGTTCTACCCCTGAATCCAATCACTTTATTTCTATGATATTCTGGTAAGAAAACAATCATGGATGTCTCTAAAGATTTATGTTGATCACAGTGTTATTTATAATGGCAAAAAATTGGAAGAAGCTCAAATTTCCAACACAAGTGAAATGATTAAAATAGGCACTTCCGTGCAATTAATGTTTTTAGAACTACATGTTCAAAAAATATTCAATAACTCAGGAAAAGCCTCTAGTTATATAGTTTTTAAAAAAAGATATAAAGCTGTTTATATAGTAAGAACCTAAATTTATAAAAATATTTATGTGTTGTGTATGTGTGTTACGTATAGGCATAAACATATCATGCAAAGAAAAACTACAAACAAATTCACCAATATAACAGTGGTGATGAATTACCAGTCATTTTTCCCTTTATTTTTCTGTAGTTTCCATATCTTCCACAATGACTTCAAATAATTACTTTTATAATCATGAAATAACAAAGAGTTGACAAAATACAAGATTCAGATTATTACTTTATATGTATGTTTGTGTGTGAAAAAGTGTTGTGTGAGGCTATGTATATACATAAAATTTCTCTGATCTTCACTTTTGTTATCTATAACATCGAAGTACCTATTCCAAATCTTTTTCAAGACTATTGGATGAAATCACCAAAACACTAGTACATCACTTTGTAAACATACCATGGAGTGCTACATGGACAGAACACATGTATTTCCAACGTGAAATACTGAGGACTCGTATTGTCATCAGACCCTATCATGTTCCTGGACTTGGAACACGGGGAGGCTGAGCTGCCTATTACTGCAGCAATGCAGTGAACATTAGTCCTTGCCACCAAGCGCTTCCCCAAGGATGCTCAACATTAAATCCATAAAGCCTTCTAGAAATCAAGTGCCAGAAAACAAGAGAGTTGCGTACCCAGATCAAAATTCACACCTCAGGGGCCCAGTCAGGCAGATATTAAGAAGTCACCAACTGACTGTGATACTCCAGTACCCACCACACCCACCCACGTTCTTGCCAACCAAGGATGTCCCACGGTAAAGCATAACCCTGTGACTTTACTAGACGGAGTAAATGTACGTTTACCGAGTAAACGTACATTTACTGTAAGTGGTTACAGTAAATGTATGTATGAAAGTAAAGTAAATGTATGTATGAAATCTGTTGACCATGGATTGCATTTGAATTTGTGTCAAGCATGCCTTCCAAAAGGAGGAAATGAATACGTTTTCCAAAAAGGCAGAAGGGATGGGCGCTGACCTTGTCGGAGAGGCTTTCAGCTTTCAGCTTCTGTTCTTTGAGAGCCTGCTGCAGAGCGAGAATCTCCGCCTTGTGTTCCTTCACTGCCAGCTCTACCACCTGGCGTGACTCGGTGATCCGCTGGTCAGCTCTTGCCCTAACGGAAAAACACAGGCCCACTTTCAGAAGACACACCATCACCGATCTAGAGAAAGGCAACTGGCCCATCTCTAATCCTGATGAGCAACCAAACTGGCTGCAGGCTGGATAGATGCCCAACCCTGGCTCCTAGTTCCAAATTATGTCCTGCTTTCTGACTGCTTACAGAGTGAAGATGTGACCCACTTTCGGCTTTGGGTAAAAATACTCTTAATAGGTAAAGTTCCTGGGAGTACTCACTTGGAAAGCCTGAAGGGGAAAAGGCAATTTTCCTAATACAACTAGGCTGAATAGGATGTGTCAAGACTATCACAGCCTCCCATGGGAGTAGAAGTGGAATAAAGTCCCACTGAAGGACTACAGGGTGCAGAGGACCATGGGAGATGCCATTTGAGCAAACATTTCTTCTCCTTAAAGTATATGCAATAAGTTAAGTGTTTTGGGTGCTCATCAGGAAACTGAAACTTGAATCTGATGAATGTATCTGTAAATAAGGTTAGAGAACAGAAAAACTAGAAGCAAACTAGAAAAATCACTTCCCTTCCCCCACTTAGGTCTTATTTTTGATACCTGCATACCGGCCTTGTATAATCTCCTCTACTGGCAACACTATCCTTCCCTACCCTACAAACCCAAATCTTACTCAGCCTTCAAGGATAAACTCAAAGGCTATGTCCTCCATAAAACCTTTCCCAATTTCTCCTCCCAGAAGTAACCTCTCCTTGCTCTGTATCCAAAGCATAAATGTACGTCTCTCCTGGCACACCCCACTCTGTTTTACGTGATAAATATTTGAATGCAGAGTTTACCTCCTCCACTAGACTCTTAGCCTCTTGAGGACAAGAATTAAGAATTAAATTTTACTCATCTCAGTATCCCACATAACACCAAAATAGTGGGAAAAAAGGGGGAAAAGCCAAGATCTTTCACACTTGCCCTTGAAAGTATACATGAAATGTCTTCCTAGGCACAGCCCATAATCATACCTTCCATGTGTGGTTGTATATCTCTTGATGCTGAAGCCATCTTCTGACCCCTAAAATTGTCTGTGAAGGACTCTAGCAACAGCTAGGATAGGAGCGGGACTTGAGGGCAGAAGGAGGGGGTCTGTGTGAAAGCAACCAGAACAGACCGTAAGGACTCAGGGGACCCAAGAGTTCAGGGGGGAAGCAGGAGCAGGAGGTCTTAAACCAGCAGCCCCTCACATCAGCAAATACCCTGAGGGGGAGGATGCCCAAAAAAGGAATATTTCTACCAGTTTCTCTTGAAATTTAAGCGTTCTCATCTTTTGCCTCCAATCTTTTCTAGTTTAACTGACTTAGCATAGATTAAACATCCAACACATTGATGAGTCTACTATGGTCACATCAATGTGCAAATGCCAAAATGAGTCTGCTAGAGTCCAACTAAATGATAGATACTTCTATGTCTAGTTTATCTTGCTTAAAGAGTTCAGAGCATCACAGGAAGGTATGTTTCAGAGGAAGGTGACATTAGCAAGGTTATGAAGGAGGGACACAATTCAGTTGTGTGGACACGAAGGAGCTAACTCTAGCTTATAGGGAGCCTTTGTGCAAACTGGAAAAAGGCACCCGTTCTTCAAGGCCATTTATTTCCATCTGTTGGGAAACTGTCATAATACACCAATTTTGTTAGAACAAAACACTTTCCTGCTATGAGCTGTGAAACTGTCATAATAAATCTTCAAATCTGTGATGTCTTCAGTGTGAACGACACCGCCTAGAGCTACACAGTACACAACCTGCACTTCCGCGGCCCCGGCAGGAAGGGAATTCTATGCGAGAGGAACTGTGAAAACCAAAGTGGAAAAGCAGAGGAAAGATACTGCCTGAACTTATTATTACTATTCTACCAAGAAAAAAGAAAAAGAAAAGAAAACTATTCTTGTAGAGCAGCTGTTCTCAGTTGGGGGCGATTGTGCCCTCCAGGGGACATCAATGTCTGCAGACATTTTTAGTGTCACAACTTGAGGAGGGGGCTGATACTGGCATCTAGTGGGTAAAGAGCAGGGATGATGTTCAACATCCTAAATGTACAGACAGCCCCCACAACAAAGGATTATCTGGCCCAAATTGTCGACAGTGCTTAGGTTGAGAACTCTGGTATAGAGAGAAGATTGGCATTACACGTGACCAGGATTAAAATGGTGATGGTCTTGCTACATGGTCACAACGATAAGAAACCTGAGGAAAGAGTTTCTGCAAGGAAAGCACTGAGATATCTGCCTTGCTCTACTCTGAGGCCTCTACACAGGGGAAATGAACACCAACTACTGCCACAGAATTCAACTGACACCCTATTTACAACGAGGATGACCAACCCATCCCGGTTTGCCCAAGAGTCTCCCAGTTTCAGCACTGAAAGTCTTGTGTCTCAGGAAACTGCTCAGTCCTGGGCCAGCTGGGACAGTTGGTCACTCTGTTCATAACTTTCAGGTGATCCTGCTATAGTCGCCTGTCACCGGCTTTCTACAAACAGAAAGTCCCACCTGCTCTGTTTCTCAGTGTCCAGCATCCTCTGTAACTCTCGAACCCGACACTCAAACTGGGACTTCTCATCACCAAGGACGCTCCTCCACGCCTCCCACTGCCGCTCTTTTTCCAGCAGCTCATCGTTCAGGGCCTCCAAATCCATGACCTGTTCTTCCAGCATCGTGCAGGTGGTCTTCAGAGCCTCCATCGTCTGCAAATCAGTACCACTGAGTTGTGCCTTGTATCAAATGAGGATTTCCTGGATGTTACTTTTGTCAGATCAGTTTCAGAAAACCACAAGTTCTAACTATGGTCTGAAATACAGCTTATCTTTTTCTTCTACCAGAAAGGGGACCAGATGAGATAGGATGAAGGGCCATTTCTGCTGCCATCTTATAGGCAGAACCCAAAGCAAGGCTAGCGGGAAGAGACCATGCTTAAAAGTCAGGTGGCTCACACTGGCCTCCCAGAACATTCTACTTTATTTTCAATTTTTTTTAAATCAAAATTAAGAAGAACAGCATACTTTTAAAGACCATTTTTAAAAATTCCCAAGCCTTCGAAACACAGACATGATTACGAAAAAGAGCCCATTTAATGGACAAGGCTCAGTACTGGAACCCCTGGGAGAGATGAGCCAGGCACTCACTCTAAAATCTAAAAGGGATCAAAGGGTTCCAGGGGTCTCTGACATTGTTTACTGCCCTTACTTGCTTCTGGCTGGTGAGTTGCATCTCTCTCTCTGTGATCTCTCGGCGGAGATGGTCCACTTCACTTCGCAGCTGTACTATCTCATCGTTGGCACCAGAAGCCTCATCAAGTTGTTTGGACAAGTAGAAATTTTGGTTGTTGAGCTCAGCGTTGTCCTCAGTCAGCTGGTTCAGTTGCTCCTCCAGGTCTGTGATTACCTAAAAGAGGAAAGGAATCCAGTTACACATCAAGCAAGTCAATTTTAAATGAGAAATTGCTTCTCGAGCCATTGATTTTGAACCTACATGATACTGACAATCAATGTGCAGCTCACATATTTGCCTATCCAGCCACGAGCCAAACCCAAGCTCCCCATGCCCACCCACTTAGCACTAAGACACACACGCTGTGGTAGAAAAAGAGAAGTTTCTGATTCCTTCTAACCCAGGATTCACCAGGAAAATATGGCAAAAGCCAATCAATCAAAAGTGACTGCCATATGGAAGGGGCAACTTTAAATGAGATCAAGTTAATGGACGATAATATAACGTGGAAAATGCAAATCAAGGAAAGAGGAATAACAAAGAGACTTGTATCACAATCAGCTAATTAAGAGAAAACGCCCATGACACCATCTATAGGACATTACAATTGGAGATCATCTTAGAAGGCAAAATAAAGTTCTTATCAAGGAAGACTGACAGTGAAGGACACTGAGAGTTATTTTAATAATATCTCAGGCAATAAATTTTATTTCATGCAACAAAGAAAGGAAAAACTTAAGAGAAGCTCAGAATAATCCTGAAAATACAATATTGTACTATAGCATCAGTTTAATGGTTTTTACTATACAGTGAGCTATCAGAAAATGGAAAGGCATGTATATGAAATTGTCATTTTATTGAGAGAGATTTAATCTAGTTTTGCTAAATTATTTCCCTGTGCAATGGCAGAACGACTTCAATTTCAGTGCATTTAGCATTCTTATTCTCTTGGCTGAGGTTTAGTATCAGCGCTGCAGAGAGCTTTTATATATAATACTTTAGAAGTTTAAGGGCAATTTTCTAATAATAGAGTGAGGCACACAGGCAGTAAATTAAATTTTATTTAAAAAAAAGTAAATTAAAAGGAAATGCCTTGAAGCCTACAGTTATTAATTGTTTCCAATTATCAAACCTAGAGTAGATTTACTTTATGAAATGTTGCCACTGTTTCCACGACTAATTCCCTATTTTAACCCCCTCTGATTATCAATTAAAAAACAATCTTTCCAGGCTCATAGAATTAAAGAACATCAATTAAGTACATTTGTTCAATGTGGCTCAGAAAACACGGCTTTTCATTTTGTAACTGAACTGATAAGCTTGTAATGTAGTAAGTGGTCTAGGAATTTGTATTTTAATGTCAAAAGCCATGTTAATTCCTAATTCACTGGTTTGAGGTACAGTGTCAGTTACAAGAGGGAAAATAAAGGTTATCTGGTCAGGTTCTTTGCTGGGTCTCCTTCTTCATCAGAGGAAAAAAATAGGAAAAAACTGCAAGTTTGTCATTCCTAGCAGGCAGTTATGCCTCACAGGAATCCCTGTATCACCCTCTCTGTAACATGGTTAAATCTCCCAAAATCAGAAACAATAAATACACAATGCCCAACAGTTCAACTGGTCTCCTTCTTATATCTATTAAACCCATTCCTTAAGATAGTCTTCATGCTAGACTGCAAATGTCTCCATTTAACTATTTTGCTTCCTTCTACTCTTTCCCAAAGAAAAACAAGACTGAGGCAAACTGGCCTGGAAGTTATACTATAAAATGGATTCTGGAACTCCAAATAAGCCACCTGGAACTTTGTTGGGTTGATTTCTCCATCTGTGACATGGAGGTATAGACTATTTACTACCTCCTCTGTTTTCATTTTTTTAATTTTCTTGCATACTATTCTACCTTAATGTATCATGTGAAATACAAGGGACAAAAATTAATGACCAAGATGATGCTTCATTTTAAAGATTACAATGGTGCCTCTTGAGGAGCAAACAGACTACAGAACATCTATTCACATAAAAATATATACACGGCCAAAATAATGTACTGCCATTCAAAGACCTATTTAAGCCTCTGGATATCCACTTCCTTTCCTTGATTCATGAAAAATTTATTTTCATAATGCAATTTAATATGAGCCAATTTCTGCCACCTCCCTCTCCCGAAATTAGATTATAAAGTGCTAAAGAAGAAACACTTGAAAAAAGTCAATGAGGTGCCGAGATTATTACTCTCACTTCAATTGAGACGGGCCCATTGGAGTAAGAAGGGTCCTTCCATTTCCCTGTTGTCATCTGGTTTTCGAGGGGTCTCACGTCTCTGATTTCTATTTACAATTTGTGATTGCTGGTTCTATATTTTGTCATCGTCTCTATTTCACCCGTTTGACAAGAAGAGTATTACGTGTTTGTGTGAAGTACCCAAGCCCTCATAAAAGCCTTTTAACTCATTCAGACTTTTTATATATTCTTTCTGCCCAAGCCATACCACGTTTAGCTTGTGACCCTGTTCAAGTTGCTGGACTTGTGGTATTAAGTGTTAGACACACCCACACACACACACATTATTGAGTTTGCAGACATTGAACCATCTTGAGACACAAGCAGTAAATTAATGGTCTCTATAGTTAAAAAAAAAAAAAAGTATCATAGGAAATCCGTGATTCTGAACCAGGTAATGTGCAAGGAGAATTCTCAGGTCTACTTTATGGCCATGGGTATATTCTCTCCACACCAAGGGCAAATGATCTTTTTACTGTATTAGAGTCTGGTAACCTTTCAACCCCAAGGATAGAGGGTAAAAAAGATAAATTGAAAGGCCAACTCCATCTTAGCAGTAAAAAATCTAAGGGAGACAGCTTCATAATGCAGGGGCCAGCAGAGCTTTCTTATATGCTGTTTTTGCAGATAAAAGATCGTGGTACAGTTCTAAGAGAAAAAAAGGATATAAAAAATGATCTTCTCTCAGTGTCCAAAAAATAAAAAGATCTCTATTTGGGGTTATCTGTTGCTTTTCAAGCAAACCTCACGGTTCTGAGAAATAGATGTTAACCCTCTCCCACCTTCTGGGAGACCAGCAGAGGGAACATTACCAGGTAAATGTCCAGCGGCATGTTGGGGGTGAAGAAACCAGTCAGATGACGAGCATCAAGCTAAAAAGACACAGGACTGAAGTCCTATTTTAATGCCTAGTTCTTTCTTGAAGGCAGCTATTTGCATATTATTTATTTTTAATCTTATAGCTGACAGATTGATTCATAATTAAAACCGTGTCATATGTTTGCCCACCAACTCCCCTCCAAAACAGCCTTAGGTAGGGTTTTAGGTGCCAGATTGAATCAAATCCTTTTTTTAAATCTCTTCAAAATATAGAAATGGTCTGAGCTTGAAAATCTTGCTGTTCATGAGCTTTAGAAAAGCTGCTAACTGGGAGCTCCTATCAACTGAGTGATTACAGGAGTTCCCACCAGTAACGAGGATGACATTTCCTAGCGGAGACAATCTCGGACAGCGCCAGCAAGAAAGGAACATCTATCATGCTCTTCTGAAGTGTCTTTAAAGCAGCCTTTGAACTTGCAAAAGTATAACTGAGATCTACTATTGCTGCCAAACGTTGTTCTAAAGCAGTGGTTTTCAAACTTTTTTAAGGAGCAGAACCATTTTCTAAACAAGAGATTATGTCGTAAATCCACATAATAAAACAATAAAAGTAACCAACATTGTTTAGCACTTTCTATGGAACAGGCCATGTGCAAGCACTTCGACGCATCATCTCATTTAATTCTTGCAGGAACCCTGTGAGGTAGGTATTATTACCAAGTTTCTGATTCTATGACTCAGTCTTTCTCAAGCTTTACTGTTTCTGAAATTTGAATGTATACTGGAACTAAGCAGCTGCCTCTCTTCCCTCACCCAGCCCCCAAAGAGCAGTTATTAAATGAATTATGCATCTTACAATTGATGGTATATTGGAATTGAGGATCTACAATGTCATCCCCATTTTACAGATAAAGAAATGGAGGCTTGGGAGGTTAACACCACATAGGTTACCAAGAGGCCAGTTTGGAATCTGAACCCAGTCGGCCTGACTCCAGACCACATGGTTTGGACCACTAAGCAAACCAGCTGCTCTAGCTGAAGTGTGGGTGGGGGCCACTCTCTCAGGTTCCCTTTTCCACTTGGAGAAGCCCCCAGAGGTTCCTCCACAGAGTGCCAGAAGTAAGTAAAGTAAGGATTAGAAGTCACCGTTCCAGAAAAAGCAAATTTGAGGGATAAAGAGAGTATAAAAGTTACATAACTTAAGAAAGTAACCAAATTCATTCTACACATTGGCATATCCTACTAAAAACTAAACTTCCAATTTTAAAAATGTGGGGGAGGGTAGATTACAAAGGGGCACAAGGAAACTTGTAAAGGTGATAAATATGTTCATTATTTTAATTGTTTCACAGGTGTATATACATTTCAAAACTCATCAAGTTATTGTACTCCAATTATATCTCTATAAAGCTATAAAAAAACGCTTAAAAAAAGTCCTTATGCCAAAAGACTAAAAAAGGAGAAAAGAAATTTCCAGATAAAGGATTACTGATGTACACATTTAAAATATATCCAAGTTTATTTTAGGAAAAATAGTAATATAAAAAATCGCAGTCATAAAATGATCTATATTTTATTCAATGATCATTTATGAGCATGTGTGTAATATAAGAAAATAACTCTTACGTAATATAAGAAACCAAGACGATAAGAAACTAAAAAAGTAGGCAAAAGAGTACATGAACAGAATGCATCAACTCCTCAAGAAAGGGAGGCAAGAATGGAGGAAATCAACAGACACATCTAGGGCAGGCCCACCCTAATCCAGCCATTGGCATCAGGAAATACAGACCAAAAAGCCACCTGCCAGGTACCTACTAGAGTCAAACAGAAGCACATCTCACGACCCAGCTATTCCACTCTTGGGGATCTGCTCATCAGAAACAAGGGCCAATAGCCACCAAAAGGCTTGTACAAGAATGTTTTCTAATAGCTTTATTCATAACAGAAACAATCCAAGTGTCCATCAACAGGAGAATGGATAAACAAACTTTAGTTCTATTCATACACTGGAAACACTACACCATAATGTAAAAGAACAAATTCTTGACAGATGCCACAACATGGATGAACCTCACAGATAATTCAAGTCAAACAAGGCTAAACCCAAAAGAGCACATCCAAATGATTCCATTTATATGAAGTTCAAGAACAGGCAAAACTAATCTATGGTATCAGAGGTCAGAATAGTAGTTACCCTTTGGGCAAAGGATGCAGATGAGAAGAAGACATGAGGGGGCCTTCTGGGGCTGAAAATGTTCGGTATCTTGATCTATGTTGTCGTTACACAGTTGTCTACACATATAAATTTCATTGAGCTGTGCACTTAAGATTAATGCACTTTACTGTATGCATTTGATACCTAAATTACGGGGAAAAAAGCATATACCATCAGGACTTCTTGTCCCATTTAGAGTAGGGAAAGAGGAAAGAGAGAGTTTCATTACAGGAAAATAAAATAGGTATGTGGGGGATAGGGATGTTTCTGGAAATTTACAGATGTAAAAAATACGAATGGAGACAGCTCACTGAGGACTGACTAAGGAGGGAATAAAGGGATGAAAGGACCAAATAAACTGGAACCATGAATAAAGATAACATCCCCAACTTCTGAAAGGGGCCTATTTCAGTCCTTCGTTCTGACCAAAAATAGACTTCCAGTTTCCACTGACCCTACCTTATTATATAACTTATGAATGATGCTTATCTGCTCATAGAATTTACTTCTCTCAATATAAATAACATTTCCCAAAGAGTCTTAGGTTTTCAATTTGCATGTTAGGAACCCAGATTTTGCCTGTTGGGAAGTTAACATTTCTAGATCCTTGGAAGAACTTGTCCGTCTTTCTTCTCTGCAGAGGCATCAGGCTGGAGAAGCCTCACAGATATAACTGCTGCTACCGTCCAGACAGCCTCTGGCTTGGGTGGCCCTGGAACCTTCTACATTGGGGAAGGAAAGGGAGCTGCCTTGGGACTTTTATTGCAGCTAGTGAAACCTATTAGTGGTTCTGCTGTAAGAATTACTTTGACCATTTCACCTATCCTCCCTCAAACATGAAGAAAGGTTTTAAATTTTTAAAACCGGCAGAAACCCGAGAAACTGAAGTTATCTGGGGCTCAGAAACTGCAAATCAGTTTGACCACATTAATGGCTTCAAGTTGAAAGTCTGTATCAAAAATGAGTCAATGATATTATAAAGAGATGTCCCCTCTTCCTTCTCGATTTTAGTTTCATGTTATTTTAATCATCTTTGGTTAATACTCACAGTACAGCTGTTACGAAGGGCATCAAATTTGCGCTGGATTTCATCTCTATGTGCCTAAAAGGTAAGAAGTTGATTATGAATTTTTCATAGGGTAGAATACAGTTCTACATGCTACGGGTCAAATAAAGAGAACAGCATTTGCCTAGAGAGCCAAGAATGCTGTTGCAGCTGTCCCAGCATCTGTTTTTCAAAGAACTAATTAATCAAGTCATCCCCAATGTGAGAAATAAAGTCACAGGAATACACGATGCTGTGTTAATTAACAATTAACTATTTAGACCACACATGGAGACTATGTACAAATATATTTAACATTCATATTAACACCTTGCGATTAGTGGAACAAAAAATAAAAGATGAAGTTTTTACTCTCCTTCATTTGTCTTATTTCCTATTCTTAACCTTTCCCTCTTCCCTCTAATTGACCCACCCCCTCAAGCCTACTCCCAAGAGAGACACACACACACACACACAGAGACACACACAGGACAATAGCCAGGACCAGGTAGGGGTTTTTTTTTTAATCAAAAGCTGCTGAGATTCAGAAACCCCACAGTGACCTCGAAGTAAATATAAAGGCTTTCTCTAAGGCAGAGCTGCTCTAAAACAGCAGCACGCATTCAGCTGACAAGGATTTTCTGAATGCACACTATATGCCAGACACTGTTGGAAAGAGCATATATGGCCTACGCCTTCATTCTGGTGAAAGAAGACAGAAAATAAACAAGGGCATGATTATAAACAGTGACAAATGCTACGAAGGAAACAAACAGGGCCCAGGAAAAAAGAATGAGGAGGAGAGACAGGAACTTACTTAGATGGGGTGGTCAAGGAGGGCTTCTCTGAAGAGGTGACATTTAAACTGAAACCTGCAGGATGATGAGGAGGGGGCCATGCAAAGAACAGGAAAGAGCAGAGGAAATAGCATGTGCAAAAACCCTGAGGCAAGAAAGGGTTTGGTGCATTTGATGAAAAAAACAGACCTGAGTGGCTAGAGCAGTTTTTCAAACTTCAAGCTGTGACCTAGTAGCAAGCCTGTCAAGTGAGATTTCTTTGGTTTGTTTCATCCAATAAAATGGAATAAACCGGATAGAACAGAAAATATCAGAATGTACCTTGGATAGTAAAGGTAAGCACTGTTGTAGGAAACTTGTTTCAGATACTATAATTCATCAAGTTTAAGTTGCTAGCAATTGTAAGACATCACAATTTTATGAAACATTAAGGAAAAAAAGTCCTGTCAACTAAACTGTGACATGTTTATATCTATATGACTATACAATCATATATAGGCTTTGACTATAAGATGCATCCTGACTTTAGATACCTTAGAATCAGTGAAATACAGTATATATGTTCCCTTGTATTAGACTGCAAGGTAAAATATATTTTCTGTGGGTTGTGGCCAAAAGATTTTTGAAAACCACTCGGCTAAAGCACAGCAAGAGAAAGAAAAAGTGGTCCAAGATGATGGTAGAGAGACAAGCAGGGACCAAGAATCCTGAAGGCCCAGAAAAGAGTTTGGATTTCATTCAAAATGCAATTAATTGAAAGCCAGTAGAAGTTCTAAGAAGTGGAGTAACATGATCTGATTGTCATTTTGTGGATGCTGTAGGAAGAATAAATCAAAATAGGACAAAGGTAGAAAGGAACAGGGAAACCCTTGAGGAGGTTGTTGCTGTCACTCAAGGAAGAGAGGATGGTGCCTTGGAGTAGGACAGTGGCAAAACATGGAGAGAAGTGGATGGAATTGAGATCCCTTTTGGAAGCACAGGTAGTAAGACCTGCTGATGGACATGGGGGCCGAGGGAAAGGAGGACTCAAGGGTGTCCTAACAGATTTTTGATTTGAGACACAAGGCAGATTGTGGCACCATTTGCTTAGCTATGAAAGCCCAAAGAAGAATCCAGTTTGAGGCAGAGGCAAAAGAGAAAAAAAAATTTTTTTTCTCTTAAAAAGAAAAAATCAGTCTCCATCAGAAGGTCTAGAAGACAGCTAAGTCAAAAATTTTAGAGCTGTGATGTATTCTCTATTTTGCCATAAATTATTAAGTTTATAACAGCAGCTTAGACACTGCAGAAACAAAGATTAGTAAACTTGAAGATAATAGAAATTATCCAAAATGAAACACACAAAGAAAAAGAAAGACTTTAAAAAATAAACAGAGCATCAATGAGCTGTGAGACAACTCTGAGCAGCCTAATATACATGTAATTAGAGTCCCTGAAGGAATGTAGGGGTGACACAGAAAAAATATTTGAAGAAATAATGTCCACAAATTTTCCAAAGTTGATGAAAACTATAAACCCACAGATGCCAAACGTTTAATGAATCCTGAGCACAAGAAACAAGCAAATTAAGCTAAATCACATCTTAATCAAACTGCTTAAAACCAATAATAAAGAGAAAGTCTTAAAAGCAGCCAGAGAAAAAGACAAGTTGCATATGGAGAAATAAAGAGAAGAGATTTCTCACTAAGGGGGGTTGGGGGAGGTGAGGATGGGAAGCTAGCTAGAAGACAGTGGAACAACATCTTCAAAAGACTGAAAGGAAAAACAAAAAACAAAAACTTGCCTACCTAGAATTCTATACCCAGCAAAAATATCTTTCAAAAATGAAGGTGAAATAAAGACTTTTTCAGGCATACAAAAGCTGAAGGAATCTGCCACCTGCCCACCTATACTATAAGAAATGTTAAAGGAAGTCCTACAGGCAGATGGAAAATGACAACCAGAAATTTAAATCTACACAAAAGAATGAAGAGCACTGGAAAAATGGTAAAATAAAACAAAAATAGATAGTTGCATAGACAGACTCACAGATTCATAAATAAAGTCATCATTTAAAATTAACTTTCCAAATAATTAGCCCATATTTTTATGGACTAATTTAATACATTATAACGTTTTTTCCAAAAATCAATCTGCTTTTTGCCCAGCAACAATACAAGAGATTTACTAACTTAATTGGGCAAAAATACTATTTATCCAAAGTAGGAACGTGGCTATCTACGCTACTGTTGAAATCTCACCTGTGAGCAAGCAGCAGCCTGGCCCCAAATACCACCCAACCCCCTTGAGTGCATTTCATGATCACGAAGGACAAAAGACAAGGATTCTTCCTAGAGGAAGAATACGGCCCTTAGGATAATAAACTCCAGAGCAGGAGTATGCAAATTTTTTCTTTAAAAGGACCAGATAGTAAGTATTTTTGGCTTCGAGGGCCATTCAGTCTCTCTAACAACTACTCGCCCTCATAGCACAAAAACGACCAATACACAATATGAAAACAAATGGGCGTGGCTGCATTCCAATAAAACTGTTTACAGAAAACAGGAAGCAGACTGAATTTGGCCCACTCTCTGTAGCTTGCGGACCCTTGCTCTAAATGACTCTTTGGTGTGAAATCTCCCAAAGCCAGAAACAGGAAGCTGAGGGTGGAGTTAACTCTTTCAAAACCTAAGCAGTAATTATAAAAAAACCTCACTGGCCTGGACTTAGGGATAGAAGCCCTATTCCATTTTCTCATTAATAGCAAAGTTTGCAAATAACACTGCACCATTAAAATCTTGTTTAGGGGCCGGCCCGGTGGTGCAAGCGGTTAAGTGCATGCGCTCCGCTGCGGCGGCCCGGGGTTTGCCGGTTCAGATCCCGGGCGCGCACCGACGCACTGCTTGTAGAGCCGTGCTGTGGCAGCGTCCCATATAAAGTAGAGGAAGATGGGCACGGATGTTAGCTCAGGGCCAATGTTCCTCAGCAAAAAGAGGAGGATTAGCATCAGATGTTAGCTCAGTGCTGATCTTCCTCACAAAAAAAAAAACCTTGTTTAACTGCCCCCATTATAGTCTGAAATTTCAGTCACTAATACTGTTTCATTTCCATTAAAATTTACCACTACGAGGCCTTTGGATCATTCAGACACATCTAACGGCAATCCTCTCTGAGGGTATAATGTAACAAACTACCATCATTATGGCTTTGATTTATTATTGACTGTGAAGTATAAACACAAAATGTAAAACCAATTCTGCTGTGACTGCTAGAAATACTATAAGCATTTAACAATTATTGAAGTGATCTGAGGAAATGTCAAGAAACATATGTTTTATGTTTCTTTGAAATAAGTTGTAAAACAAATACGCAAAAAAGCAAGAGTATACCACAAGAGTATATATAAGGATAGTAAAATACATAAGACAAGCTTTGGATTCTCTCAATGAAATATTTGAGTATTAATTAGGTATTAGGTGCTACAGGGAATAGATATTTACTCTTAAAAATTATTGAGGACCCCAAAGAGCTTTTGTTTATATGGGTTATATCTATCTATACAGTCATGCGTCACTTAATGACAGGGATATGTTCTGAGAAATGTGTTGTTAGGCGATTTCGTCGTTGTGCAAACATCATAGAGTGTACTTACACAAACCTGGATGGTATAGCCTTCTCCACACCTATGCTATATGGTACTAATCTTATGGGACCACCATCGTATATGTGGTCTGTCGTTGACCAAAACATCATTATTCGGCACGTGACTATATTTACCACGTTAGAAATTAAAATTGAGATTTTTTTTTTTAATATTTAATTTCTTTTAAAATAACAGTAACATTGCTTTTGTACCATCAGTGCAAATGTTAACACAATGAAAAATGCCAAATGACCTCTCAGTATTATTATAAAAATAATCTGACCTTGGGGACCCCCTGGGATCCACAGACCCCACTTTGAGAACCACTGACCTAGGGGCTGGGTGGCAATAAGGTAGAATAGACAGGCTGCAGCCTGAAGACCGGAGAGGCACTCTCTTTTGAGAGTACTTATATCTTCATTAATTTTATGAAGTTACAAGAGAAAGAAAGAAAAGAGAATTATGATGCAGGCTTGATGAGAGAAGATACCTGCACAGCTGAGGAAAGAAAACCAGTGTTTAGATGTCTGACCACCTTCTGGGATCCACCGTTAGGATTCTAGAACACTCAGGCTTCCACGCATCAATCCCTCTCCCTGTGAAGGCAGGCACCAAGCAAGACTGTTACCTTCCATGCCCCAATTTCACATCTTGGCTATCATGCTGATGACTTGCTAATTAAATGAAGGGTTTGATATTGATGTAAAAAAATGACAGAGTGCATTGACTAATGATTTTAACAAATCAAAGAGGATGACTCTGGGATCTCATAATCACACAATGCTGGAAGGAGTCCTTTCATTAGTGTCTCTAGCTTTAGACTCTTAATTATTCATCATTAGTCATTTAACCAAATCAGTGAAAGAATGTGAGGGCAGGGATATGAAACGTGTCCATGGGTCCTTGCTGGTGTACACAGAGCCCACGCCACATCCCTACCCATGGGCCCAGAGTAACACTTACATCACGTCACACACCCGTGTGCTCAAATGTGTGCAGGCTCAAATTCTCTTCCTTGGATGAAGGGATTCCATGGTGTCTTAAATAACCAAGTCCAGGCGGAAAATTCTCTCTTCCACCATTAAGCACTGAAGCATCTTAAAAGCCTACCTTTTTGTTTAAATTTGACTCTCCTGTTGGTCTCTACTTTGATTCAACCTCAGCTTCTAAGGGCCAGTGAATTTCAATGCAAATACAATTGACAGAATGGGTAAAGTGAGACTGGGGAAAAAAGAAAGCACGAGGAAGACCAACAATGGCTTCCCAGAGGCCCCTGCCACGCTTCTTCAATGGAGAGCTTCAATTTAACTGTGCTCCAGCTAATTTGGCCCAAGAGCAGAGGCCAAACACAGCAACTACTCCCTTCCCAGGCTAGGAGACGGAGGCATCTTAGAATTAACAATAACAGCCCACTTGACTACTTGCTTTTATTGATAAAACAGCCTGCTGTGAAGCTCACAAACCTCCTAGGAGATCATTTTAGATCCAGCTGATTTAATTTGACGGATGCTTAACGTTGGGTCTGAACTCGGGCCTGAACAATGAGCGACAGAGTCAGAGTACTGCATTTGTGACCATTTTCTCTTTCCATTGGAAAATACATTCTTCAGGACAAATTCAACAAAGCCATTCAGACAATAACCACACGCAGTCCATAACCAGGTTTATGACAAGGGGCGGGAAAAAACCCTCAGCCTCAAAACTGAACCGAAGCAAACTGACATGGGGTTTGGATTCCTGCATGGTGGGCTTACAAACAGGTGTTTGACCAAAGGCACTCTTCTGCCACCATTTTGAACAAGCCTTATTTTCCAAAACATCTTCATCTGTGAGAGTGGCAGAGCCCTAGTTTCTAGACCTAGGGAAGTTTGTTTCTTTTTTCTAAAAAAAAAAACAAAAAAAAAAAGATGTTCCCAGGCAGTGATCTCATCTAACTAAATTAAGTCATGACTTGCTGCTGTGCTAGGCTCCCAGCATCCATTAGGCACAGCACATTCCAACCAGCAGCAAGACAGGATTTAAAGGCTAATTTCCCCATAGATAAACAGCAATGACACATGCTCTATTTTATACCTTCCTCCTTCCAATCAGGCAGAATAAGATGCACAGCCACCACCCTCCCTCCCAGTTCCAACAGAGCATTGAGATAAACATGTCCTTCTCCTCGGCTCCAAAGTAAGAGGATTTGAGGAATTACAGGCCAATCCCCTGGGGAGAAAAAGCTAAAAGCACAGCACTAGGCACACAGTGAGGACTCATTAAATATGGATTAAATTGCTGATGTCTCCTTCTCTTTCAGACGTTGAGAGTTCATACAGGGGCAACATATTAATATATAATGTATTAAATATAATACTGGTTGGATTTTTAGATATCTCCTTTAGCAGCTAAGAAATGCTATCTAGCTGTCTCCCTCCCCATCCACCCAATTCCAGAAAGCATATAAGCCTTCCTGACATGCACTCTTATATATTCATCTCATTCCTACCTCCATTTTTCTCTTTTATAGACTTATTTTCTCTTCGCCTTCTCTTTCTTATTTTATCCCATTATACTGTTTTGTATCTTTCCAAACTGCTTTCAATCCATTTTGAAACAAGGCAGAGTATAAATAAATAAAGAGATACCATGACTATTTTTTTCCAAACCAAATACTGGAGGCCCATGGCATCATTTAATGAGCATTCTCAGAGACAATGGAAATTAAGATTGTAATCAATATCTGAACTTGGTGTAAGCCTTGGAAAATCCAGGATGCACAAGCACCTTCTATATATGTGCCCCTAGAATCCTGGAAGCCCCTATGTCCCAGACTGGTCTATAAGGACCCTGGCACTGTCAGATCACGTTCCCAATTTGGTTCAGATAATGGGCTCCCTAAACCCAACAATGGGAGACGACGTCTAAGAATGAAATTAGTTTAAAAATATATATACACACATTACTTTTAAACAGGGTAAATCACAAGCAACAAATGTGAGTTGCCATCTGTAGAAGTAACCCCACTCTAACAGATATTTAGAGATGTTTGCTGATGGAGATGGGGACAGTATCCAAGATGAATCAGAATGAATAAGGTACCCACTTAGGTACCTTATTAAAAAAAAAAAACATAAAGCCAATCAGCTGCATTGTGCCTTGCCAACAGGGTACCCTGACCAGCAGGCATGAGTGCGCCCATCTGTCTGGCAGGTACAGTATGTTACTACTAGAAATGTACGTGCTTGGTTGACACTAGCCATTAAACTCATTCAGCTTTCTATGCCCAGAGTCCAGGTCTACCAAGCAGCCTTCCAAGAGTAATGGGGTTTTTAAGTAGACTTCTCTGAAGGGGAAAAGATGTGAAGATTAATCACCCACAGTATCTTAGTCAACTTGGCAGTTGTTTTTCCCACTGTATGTTGATAAGATGGCATTTTATATGTAAGATTCTGGTGAGTTTTGTTAGCCAGGGTCAGTCCCTGTGAGAAGGCTCAACTGTGGGAAACTGGCCCCAAAAGTCACATTTTTAGACTTCCAGAATGAACCACGGTCTAAATCCAGTGACCACCCCCACTCCAAGTTCTACATCCTAAGAAAACTCTTCAGTTGAGTAACCTAGTCTTTCAGAAACAAAAGGGAAGCCAGGTCCCTTTTAGAGGAAGAATCTCTCATTCAGAAGAATCTTTTCCACCCAGAACATACCAGATGCATGCATAAGACTTGAAGCAGAATCTAAAGCTTTGAAAAGAAAAGTAACAGAAATGAGGTTAACCAAAACAAAAACAGAAATATGGTAGAAAGACTACTTTAAGATATAAGATCATTATTATTTAAATGATTATTGACAACTAAGTAGAAGACCCAGGTAAATGGACTTTGTCTGAAACAAATTTAAAATATAATGATGATCATTTTAAAAAGAGGGAAGATACATAAATAAAGGAGGAACTTTTCAAGATACTAAGGAAAGCTCAGATACTACCAATCAATCTAGTATACTAATTCCAATGCAGGAGAAGCCTACGTAAAGCCAATTTTCTGCCCTTATAAACATCTCTATAAATGGTTTTTTCTCTCTTGGAATTTCTAAGAGTGAGTAAATATCACTAGCACCACATTTATCCTAGCTGAGGCCTTCAGCAACCTGAAGGTGCCACGCCCCAGGCCTACCGTGAGCGCCTGGATCTCTTCTTCTGCTTCCGCTGTCGTCTCTTCCAGCTCCGTCTTCGCCTGGCGAAGCTGGCTCTCCAGGGCCGCGCGGGCAGCCTGCAGGGCTGTCAGCTGGGACTCACGCTCTTGCAGGGAGAGCTGCAGCTCTGTGAGCTGACGCTTTAGCTCCAGTTTCTGCTCCTCATGCTCTAGGCTGACCTGAGAGAGAGAAAGAGAAAAATGCTCCGTTGACCTCAACTGGAGCCAAGTTGGAAAGCCAAGACCTGAACTGTTCAACCTGCATCTTAAACTTGGTCATGGAATCAAATTCTCAGCATTCAATTGAGAGGGAAAACATGCAATAAAACACGTCTGACTTGTATAAGTCTCAAAAATCAACAGGAGTGAGAATAGGTAAGAGCATATACAATGTATATACAAACCATCCCTTACTTCTAAATATTCAAATGCTTGGAAAGGTTTCAAAAGAAAAACCACACAGCAAGAATCCCCTATGAAAATTATGACAATTACCTTTATTAGAAAAACATTTAAAAGTAAATGGATATAAATAAGATCATATGAGTAACAGGACACCTTTACAATTGGAATACAAATGGAACAATAGACTGAATTCTATTTATTTTAAATATCCTTGCTCTTATTTGTTCTCATTAGGTAACCCTCATTAATGTCACATTGTGAACTAATCATTCCTCCTTCCGTCTTCCCATCTATCCATCTGTCTATTCAATGTTTCATTCACTCATTTAAGAAAAATTTACTCGGCAACTTCTGTGTAAAAATGATTATGGAGATGAGAGACAGTCTCTGCCTCCAAGTTGGGGAGAAATGAAAACTAACCATTATCATATATTGTGGTCAACTGCAATGGTCAGGACATGTAGGGATATAGTGGGAACACAGCAGAGGTGTAGAGGAGGTAACTGGATCTGTGTACTGAAGAATACAAGAGCCAAACGAACATATAAGAGGGGAAAGAAAATTCTAAGCAAGGGAAGCAAAATGTCCAAAGGCATGGAGATGAGGGAGCTCATGGCACATCTATTGACCTAACAAACAGTGACAAGGCTGTCCTAGGGACCAGACCCTGTGTCAAACATTGGGGATGCCAAGCAAATAAGAGCGTACTCTCTAACGGGGACTGCCAAGGGGTACACAGGGTGATGAGCTAAACACGGAACGCCATGAGGACACAAAGGAGACATCCCATCCAGCTCCAGAGGGTCAGAGAAGGCTCCCCAGAAAAGGTGACATCAAAGTCCCAAAAGCCAGGGGGGTAAAGAGAAGAAAGACAAAAGATTTAGCCTAGAGAACCAACAGGATTTAGTGGGTAATTCAAGGCGGGGCAGGGAACAAAGGACAGAGAGGAATCAAAGGTGATACCTGCATTTCTGGGCAGGTGACTTACAAGAGAGTGAGACCACTGGCTATGACAGGGAACATGAGAGGAAGAGCCAGTATGAGAAGACAGACACAAAATTCAGTCTTGATGTGTTGACCTCGAGCCACAAGGGAGACATCCAAGCGAAGATGTCTAATGTCTACAGGGACAAGGGGTCAGAAATTCAAGAGAAAGGTCTGGGTTGGTACTCTAGATCTGGAAGTCCCTAACAACTCAGTGGCAGCTGAAGCCAAGGCTGTGATCTCTCTCTAGTGAGGATGAGGATAATGGCGGTGGATGATGACGACGTGCCAGCAGCAAATGCAGCACTCACTTCAACATGCTAGGCACTGTTTTAACTCATTTCATCTTCAAAACAACCCAATGAGGGAGGTACTACTATTATCTCCATTTTATAGATAAGCAAACCATGGCACTGAGAGATTAAGTAACTGAGCAAATGTCACATAGCCAAAAAATGGCAGGAACTGGCTTTGAACCCAGGAAGTCTGGCTCAAGAGTCCATGACTTATTGTTTATCTTATTAAAATGCCAGCAGTCAGAGCAGGCTGCGACCCCACTAGCATGCCTGAAAATTCTCCTGATGCCACTTGGCAAAACCATGAGAGGCAGATGACAGCGAGTCAAGTGGAGGTTGGGGAGCAGGATGCTGTACAATGACAGGAGAATCCAAGAGCCCTACACCTTCACGACTCCACACACTATGCTAGAAAAGGGCTAACACTGCACACAGGCAGTAGGGGGAAAGCCCAGGGCCCTTTAAGGTGGATCAAACCCAAGGCTGAGGCCTCTGCCCTCAATCTCAATAGCAATGGGTGGCAAAGAGAAGATGGACCCACTTTGTCATATTTAAAGCTAAGCTCCAGAACTCCCAGAGAGTCTATACAGCCCTGAGCCTCTCATGAAGCAGTCTAAGTTTCTCCCACCATCCTTGTGGGGAGGCTAGCTACAGTGATTCGAGAACAAAGCAACACACTTCCCCTGGGTCATATTAACTGTCCAGATGGCCTACAGCTGCAGGGCAGTTGTGGCAAGAGACACTCGTCGAAAGGGAAGGCAGAAAACAGCCAGCCCATCTTCCCACACTCAAAGAAATCGATCTGAGTTATTTACACTCACACTCTTAAGGCTGACACTATGGGGAAATGTTGTTCAACCTACTGAAGAGTAAAAATATAAGCTGGAAAATAAAAGTTAAACCACCCCCTAAGGCTTTTGGACAACTTAGAAAAACGGTTCTTAAACTCCAAAAGTATGAGAATCACCCCAGGGCTCTTGCTAAAAATGCAGATCCCTGCTCCCCACCCCCCCGACCCAATTCCATTCTAAAAGCTGAGGGAGGAAGATGCCAAGGAATCTGCATTCCAAAAGACATGCCATGTGGTCCTAATGGAGGGGTCCACACCTTAACAACTCCTGGCCTTCCGAGAATTGGCCTCATTTTAACATTCCAGCATGAACTGAGACATGCCTGTAACTCCAGACCCTCCAGGACCAGTTCAACTGACTCCATCTCTTATCAACAGAGTCATTAAGAAGTACCTTTCAGAAAATCTGCAAAGTCATGTAGCCAGGGCATGCGCAAAAGAAGAAATCTTGACCTGAAATGATAGTGGAACCAAAGATCCTCCTTCCCACAGAACCTAAGGACCGGGCAGGACAAGACCAGAACTTGCAAGTGGGACTCTTACCAGAAGCAAGAGGAAGATTCCTCATTCAGGAAGATCCAGTGTAAAAATTCCTTCCCCACTTCATCATAAACGTTTAGAACGCTGTCATGAGTGTTTAAAACCGTACCATAAATGCTTGAAGCTCACCAAGCAAAACCTGTCCCACCAGCATTTCCGCATGCCAGCCTGTTCTCCCTAACCTCTTAAATTTCACCCCAAATCCTGAATCGGGGAGACAGATCTGAGGGCATGTGCCCCCTTTCTCCTTGTCGATCAATCTCGCAGAATAAAGATGAATTCTTTTCCCAAAGCTGATGCTGTAATTAATTGGCTTGTTTATGCACATGGGGCAAAGAACCCCAAGTTTGTGGGGTAGCACACCTAAACATGAGTGTTCCTCAAGGTTTAGTCCTCAGACCTCTGTCTGCCTCAGTCTTTTCCTTAAGAGATCATCTGCTGTTTGAAGAATTCCATCACAAATATTTGATTCGACAAAGGAGCCAAGAGCATACAATGGAGAAAGGAAAGTCTCTTCAACAAATGGTGTTGGGAAAACTGGACAGCCACATGCAAAAAAATGAAAGTAGACCATTACCTTACACCATACACAAAAATTAACTCCAAATGGATTAAAGACTTGAATGTAAGACCCAAAACTATGAAACTTCCAGA